TTGGCAAAACATTAAGATCTCTTCTGAAATCTCGTTCTAGATACACCTACATACACTGTAAAAATGAATATGCTTTATCTAATCAAAAAACATTGTGGCAACAGATTACACGCAACACTATTAAATACATTAAAAAAATTAGAATTGAGTAATAATTAATCAAATTAATCCCTTAAAAGTTAACCATTTAAAATGAGTAAAACGTACAACAACCACCAAAAAAACATAAATTGAAGTCACTATTACGGTGATCGGTGTTTGTTTTAGGTTTGTTTTAAAATGACTTTAAAATGGTTTTAAAATGGTGTTTGTTTTAGGTTTGGTTTTCTCCTTCAGTGATTCTGCTTGTTAACATCAGTCTTCAATGTTGGCAATATAAAATAAAGAGATCTTAATTAATCTTTGACGTCTGTCTGTTAGTGAGATATTGTTGTTACATTTTTTTGGTGTAAACCTGACTCATTTTAAATGGTTAACTTTTAAGGAATAATTTGATTAATTTTTACTCAATTCTAATTTGTTAAATTTAATTAATAATATTGCTTGTGATCTGTTGCCAGAATTCTATATTGATTATAAAGCATATTCATTTTTACAGTGTACACCAAACAATTTTACACCAGAAGCAGAAGAACAAATGTTCTATCTAATCTTCATTTAATCTTATTGCGGTCCTACAAGAAAACATTTTTTTTCAGGGTTTTTTTTTTTTTCACACACACACACAAAATAAATGTCCTAACAAGTGGAAGCATTTTGAAATAAGAACTGTATCTCTACACACACATACATTTATGGAGCCATCTGTTTCAAAGCCTGTTGTGGATCATATCCCTTGGCCTCAGGCTGGTTTTCAGTATGTTGAATTGTAGTGCTGGATGCAGTTTCCTCACGTTTGGCTTGGAACAGTGACAGGTGGTGGATCTCAATAAGCTTTTCATACCCACCTTGAGTCAAAATGGCTCCTGTTGAACTCTGGAAAGACAGTACAGTTTACCCTGCCACATGCTCCAGCTTCCATCAGCCTTTGCCAGGCTGAACATGATGAGCGTTACTGGGATCACAGTCTTCTTTTTTATAGTCTGTGTTTACACTCTGCTGAGAGGCGTGAAAACTGCTCAATTTCCACAACCGTATTTTCATGTGCTGTTGTAGAGTATTGATATCTTGAGCGAAGTTCACTAGTTCATTGTGTCCATGTTGTTGAGTCACATTAAAAGGTTAAGAGTGCCGCTCACAATATGGACGCTCTCCAGCAACTGTAATAAAGACTTCAGCTTCAGATTTACTAAATGAATTAGTGGACCCTATTCATCTCATTTTGATTTGGCTCGCGGCCATGTTACTTGTCACAGATCCAAGCAGGGAAGGCATAGATTTTTGGATAAAATTTATTTATTTATTTTAGGTAAGACGCAGCCACGGTTTCCTTTAATTTCTTGAGCCTTTAAAATCATATTTTACCTTCACTTATTCATTGTGGCTCTTTGTTGCCCCAAACTTTGTTCAATTAAACATTTTTGTCAAATACTGTTCTACCATGGCATGGTACTACCAAGTGCCTATATGTGAATATGGTAACTATTTTATTGACTATGGTTATTTATTATTTGGGGCAGTTTCTGGGAGGTAAAATATAAGATTTTAACTGAAAGGGTGAACTATGTTCTCAGGTCAAGGGTATATTTTTTAAGCCAGGGCAAGCTGTCACTAAATGATATATACTATTTATTAATTAAATTTTGTGCTGGCCACTTTTGTTAACTTTTATATTGTTTGCTGTTTCATTGTCTTTACAGTTCAAATTCGTAAAAGCCTATAGTGTCCATACTGTAAAAAATAAATAAAAAAAAATACAAATACCCATTTAGGCTATCAAAGTACCATGGTATTACCATTTAATACTGACTGTACCACCAAGTACACACGCAAATATATATATAAAATATATATATCAAAATAACACTATTTATTTGGAATATAAATCTAATGTAACATTATAAATGTCTTCACTGCCACTTTTGATCAATTAAATGCATCCTTACTGAATTATTAAATTCTTTAAAACAATAATTACTGACCCTAACATTTTGAACTGTAGTGTACTGTTTAGTAAGGGACATACTGCATGTATGTTTTTATGATGTTGTATTCATGGGATTCATGGCTTCAGTGTTGTTTCGTACACCTATCGTACTCTGTCTTTGTTTCTTTGTTGTGATGAGTAGAGTAGGATAGACACACACATGCATGCATTACATTAAAATGAAATGTCTTTTTATGATTTACCTTTCATGTTTTGATAAATGTGCAGTAAATACTGTATAGATTATAATCAGCAGCTGTTGAACATAAAAACATAAACATAAAAGCAAAAATGAGACCAAATAGAGATCCCGTTAAACTAACTGAGCTAAATGACTCGCATTCAGAACAGCAGGGAGACTTGACAAATCCAGCCTGGAGCATTTCACACCATTTCCTCCATCATTCAACACTGTAGCAGGATTCAAGGGTAATTGGCCGACTTTTCAAGAGCTTGTCAATGCTTTTTTAAAATGCTGAATGTAGTGATGTTATACAGAGACACAAGCTGGGTATAGTAGAGTTTTACTATTATTAATGTTAAAATGCCCTCATCAAAGGAGAATGCACATATATATTATTGAATTATTGCTTTAATTAGTCGTCGTGTAATAGGTCAGCCAGAGGGCACATATACCCCAGTTTTGTTTATGTGTGAATGTGTGTGCATCCATCCTTTGTCGATTTTATTTTAGTTTTTCGCTAAGCATTAGGAATTAAATATAAAGAATAAATTTTAATTTTTTATAAAACCCAATAAAACTTAAGCTTAATATGTTAGGCTATATTAAGGATTTTTGCCGCCCCCGAATTTCCGCTAATTCGAAGCGAAAATAAAATGTAGTTAGTGGATGATGGAGTTTTCCCATTTTCTCCAACTCTAATGAATTCCCATATGGCTGTGCTCCCTTTACTTTCACTTCGAATTAGCGGCAATTCGGGGATGGCAAAAAAAAATAAATAAATAAATAAATAATTAAATATTGCCTAACATATTAAGTTTAAGTTTTATTAGGTTTTATTAAAATAACACTTTATTATTTATAATTATTCCAAAAGAGAGAGACCTTATAGCAATGGATAGCCCAGAAGGTGAAGGGGGTAAAGCGTCCGTCCATCAGTCAGGCAGCCCTAATCATCAGGAAAAGTGTGTTATTGGTGGAGCCTTTTGATTCGATCACCTTCTCATATTACCTTACTTAATATTTTGGCAGTACCACATAGTACAGTAATATACAGTATATAATACTGAATGATTAGGATTTACTGTACACACACACATACACTCAGAGAGAGACATTAGGACAATGCTTTTTTTTTTTACTTTTACTTTTTTCATGAGGGATTCTGTGGGTCCTTAAGTATTAAAAAGGTATGATCAAATTAAATTAAGGCCATACAAATGATACATATTATTATTATTTTCAAAATATCATGAATCAATCAATAAATATTAGGGCTGCCTGATATGGGGAAAATGTCATATTGCGATTATTGAGGTCAATATTGCAATTGCGATATGCGATAGCGATATATTTTTTTTTACAACCTGAACTAACATTGCCTGTCATAAAAAAAGGTCAAATAATCTGATAATTATATTGACCTTGACAAACAGTCACAACGCATTCTCATCCTATAGGGCGTCATCTAACTGACACTTTTGACCATGCGTCTAAATCAGATGCACATGGCAAACTTTAGCGTCAGTTAGATGACGCGGGTAGGTTTAGGTATGGGTAAGGGTTAGACCACTAGGAGGCGCGTCTCATATTGACGCTAAAGGGTGCCATGTGCGTCGGATGTTGACGCATGGTCAAAAGCGTCAGTTAGATGACGCCTTGGTATGTGAATGGGCTGACAGTCATGAAGCTTTTATGTTATTTTTCCTGTTTCATGTTTCTGCGTGGTCGTTGCAAATGACATGCTCCAAGAAGTGAAGTTGAAGCTTTAGCCTTCATTATAAACTGCCACAAAATGACAATCCCACCACTGTTTCTTTGATCAAAATCTCTCCATCTCATATAGTGTGATCTTTGGCAGATCGAGTGAGAATTCTTAATTTGTTTTCAGGTCCCATGGCTTTTGAGATTGATTTGACATCATGAACCCCTAATCTTCAATCTAATTTCAAGGCCAATAAAAAGTAAAAAAAAAAAAGGGCTCCAGGATAAGTTTCAGGAATGAGTTGTGTGAAAGTTCCCAGGGGAAATTAGACATTCAGTGAGTTTCTAGTACAGACCAGGTTATACTGTTATTAACCTAATCAGTTGAGGAGACCTGACTGGACCTAAGATGCTGTCTAAATTTAGTGTGCCATCACTGAGGGGTTTTCTCCGAAGCTGAGAATCTGGAGTAAAGGCTGAATGCAGGTCATGTGTCTTCTAACTTTGATAATCTGTGCTGCATTTCCCAAATTAACTCTGATGGATACATTACACGTTTCTATTGGAACTCTTTCATGTTAATGCATTTATTGTGTTATAAAGTCAGGCTCTTTTATTAGATTCGAGAAAATCAATAAAGTGAAACTATATCTATTCTAGATGATTATAAATGTTAGAACGGATGAGGTTTTGGTGTCCTTTTTCTTGGTTTAAAATGGTGTTTTATATATACAATATACCAAAAGTTTAGTCGATAAGAATTTCAAAAAAGTTTGTCTCTTATGCTCACCAAGGCTGCATTTATTTGATAAAAAATACATGTTTTCTATTGTAATATATTTTAAAATGTCATTTATTTCTGTGACGCAGAGCTGAACTTTCAGCAGCCATTACTCCAGTCTTCATTGCCACGTCAGAATATGCTAATGCTCTATTACGTTTATACATTGTACATGTTCAATGTGTACGTTTGGGCATATACATGTATACCATTCTTTGAAACTTTCACCTTGTTCCTTATGTTTGTAGGCGCTGGCGACTGCTGCGGAGAAACTACAGATGGAACACCAGTGGAAGGATGACCTTGACGTAATGCTTCACGCATACACATTTTATAAACACTTATATACATACACACAGGTAGGAAAAATAAGGCTGCAAAACTTTTTCCCGGGAATGTTTTCATTTAGTTCTTTATTAGAGAACAACAGATAGGCCTACCTGACATATTTACACATGCCATCACCTCAATTAAGAGATAATCAATAGGGATGTTAAAAGTTGGCATCCTGATCTCAGACCTTGCGTCTGTTGTATTGATGCATTTCAGGTTCCCACGGACTGAAATATCAATTCTAATTTGCAGAGGAATGGATGTGATGTCTAGTTGTCTGTTATAGATTTGTCAGTCATGTATTGTTTAAATGAGTCATCCAGATTTGTATCACAGCAATATTTAATTTCTGAATCAGACTCACTATTTAACGTACTTTTAACTCAGTACTTTTAGCTCAGTTTTAACCCCAAATTTTGTTTATTCAGTGGTTTTAATCTGAATATAAACTAACAGCATCATGATTAGAAGACCTGCCTATGACATCAATCCGTTTTGAGAGATAGTGAGGAAAAGTGTGTTGATTCGATCACCTTCTCATATTACCTTACTTAATATTTTGGCAGTACCACATAGTACAGTAATATACAGTATATGATACTGAATGATTAGGATTTACTGTACACTCACACATACACTCAGAGAGAGACATTATGACAATGCTTTTTTTTTTACTTTTACTTTTTTTTTTCATGAGGGTTTCTGTGGATCCTTAAGTATTAAAAAAGGTATAATCAAATGAAATTAAGGCCATCAAAATTATACATATTATACATAGATGTTACACTCTAGGCGATTTCTAGGCAAAACACATAAGTGTGCCTTTGTGTTCAAAAGTCGTTCCTGGCTGCAGCTGTCACGACAGGTGCTTCTCTTCAAGCGTTTCTTATGGACACAATTGCTATGTTACTGCTGACAGATGGAGAGTTTTTCTTTTGAATTATTGATGGGATGCTGGTACCAACTGTGTTAAAGACACAACCTACTTGGTCAAGCATTTGATCCCATGTAGAGGTGACTTGTACGTGTATGTCTCAGCAATCAGTGTACTATAACCTAAAAAGAGTGTCTGCCACATGATTAGCAAGCAAGTAGGACAGGTGGCGGCAGCCGGTGATGATCCACTTCTATGTCTCCAAGGCAACTGTATGTCAGATAGTGAGCTCGCTTGTTAACGCCCCAGTAATGCTAGTCCTGACAGCGCCCTCACACTGTGAGGAGAACAACCCTTGGAGAAGACACACACACACACGTCTATATTACTAACGGGCCTATCGCTCTACACTGGCCAAGAGGGGACTAGTGTTTCTGGTCATTTTGAAGAAACAAAAATGACATACAAAATTTTCTTTTAAGGTCCTTTTTTTTCATAATATAACTTTAAATATGTATTTTTATTATTATTATTATTTTAAAAAGCATGCCAGGAGTGGACCTGCATCTCTGACCATTGACTAACTAAGGGGCCTTCCATAGCATGCAATGGAACTCTGTGTGTGTGTGAACAGTGAAGTGAACTGGCAGTCTGTCTTCATAATGTAACTTATATATGTATATATATATATATATATGTTCACACAGGCATCGGAGATCACAATATGCAGATAAACATATCATATTATCAACAATATAATGACCTAACCATCAGTTAACAAAAATGTACAAAAAAATGAATTGCTTGAGGAAACACAATTTGAATGCCTCTTATCATTCATTATATTAGTTTTCTTATTTAACGCTCTCTCTTCATAGACACTTCCTATGCTTGGTTAGGCAGTCCCTGACAATTTACTTGCCTTTGTTATGTGTCATTGCACGCACACACACATGTTTTATGAGAACATTCCATAAACAATGATTTTTATAATGTACAAACTGTATATTATATATTCTTTGATTGATTTATAGGCTGTTTTCCTCATGGGAACCAAAAATGTCCCGACAAGGGTTTTAGATATTGCTATCTTTGTGGATATTGTCATCTTTGCAAACCTCTGTACTGAAAAACACAAATATAGAGCTATGTAAAAACACTTGGCACGGGTTATCTTCCTAATGGCATGGAGAGGTAAACACAGCTCTTTAATAGCATCGGGCCCCACCTTTTCTGCCTCATCCAGGTCACTAAGCAGGTCTGCTTGTAAAATAACCACAGTGCATAAGCTCAAGCCTGACCCACTGCTGACTTATTAAATACAAAAAATAAAGTTACAAAATCAAACTAGTTGAAGGAATGAATGAAAATGAAGTCAAGTCTGGGCCCATAACAAAAAAAGGGGCAACTAAACAAACCCAACTTAACCCTTTATAGTGCACTCAATGAAATTCAAAATTTCAACCATAGAGTGTTATTGGAGGATATTATAAGACTTCTAAACATTTGTGAGTTTTAATTATTTTATTTTATTAGGTTGGAAATCAAGGGCAATGAAGTTAACATATATGGTTCCTCGCCAGTCTAGGGTATTTTTTTTCCCTTAAAAAGTGTATAAAAATATAATAAAAACACTTGTTACAAACATACAAATATTTAGTTAGGAACATTTTTAATTATTATTAGGAACATTTTAAATTAAATTACACCCCTTGGCAGAGGGGCCTATATCACTCTGGCCTGGAGTGTCTAGGTTGTGGGTGGTTGGGAGGAAGTCAGAGTCTGCCACATCATCATCTTCCTCCTCAGAGCCCGCATCACTGATGCTGGGGTGGGCTGGCACAACCGTCTCCCTCTTGCCGTAAAAGATTCGTGTAGATAGCTGCAAAGAACAGAGAGTATATTTGAGTCAATATCAAACCCAGTTTTTTGTTGAGTAACAATGAAGTGCAGATCTACTGAAATTTAAATAAGAAAAATAAGTGAGTAACATTGGACTGGTCTGTCATAATATATGCAAATATACAATACGAAGTGCAAAATATCATTACAAGTATTAAAAACTGTTAGAAAGGTCATAAAACTGACCAAAACCACACATATTTCAATATCTAATATGGCTTGAAAACGTCTATAAATGTTTTGCGTTTCCCACTGGATCACTTTATAATGTTATTCAAACCTTTGATAACATTCAATGCACTAGTAAATACTATTGTCCTTATAATCATAGACTGTGGTTATAATGCATTATTTGTAGAAAAAAAATACCCTAGTACGGCTTTTCTATACGCATAGGGCGCATGTCTAAATATGGACATTCTAGCACTTGCGCTAATCTTACCTGAACAGGGTGAATGATCAAATATAGTCTCACCAGTAGCGCTGATGTGGGAGTAGGTATTAGCACACAACCTCACTTTCCAAGATCCGGAACGACACTGAAGTTTGAAATGCTCGGCGCAACTTCTGATTGGTCAGATGCCAAGGTGTGACCATCAGTGACGTAGCATGATCTTCCCTGTTTGGCTAGGAGAAATATATGTGCTCATACGACAACGCAAACAGGCTGGGCAGAGTCAGTTTGAATGCATGATTAACTTACAAAATATGGTTACTCACCCCCATAACGGCCAGCAATCAAATCAACCCAACATGAACTTCTCAATGACGCACATGGGGAACTTATATATACAGAGGACTAGTCCATTGCACATACACAGGGGACACCACAATCATCACTTAACAATTACAATAAAATAAAATAATTAACTAAAATTAACAATAAAGAGGTCATAAACTAAACTTACGCAACTAATTATAATAATAAATAAACACGTAATCTGTAAATAGAATAAACAAAACTAACATATAATAAATCACCCCCCCCCCCCCCTGCTAATTGGCAACATGGATTAACCCAGCAGTATAAAACGGCAGCCACTGACACCATCCAGTCCTTTAGGAATGGACCTCCACTGGAGCTCTGCGTCCCAGGCTGCCCTCAAACCTCTACTTTCCACATGCAGGTAACTCAAACTCAAAGAAAGAAACTTTAACACAATATATCATTGACAACTAGAAAGTGTGCATCCTTGTAAGTGGGGTTTCAACATTTGAAAACATGGAGAAATATGTTTGTCTGAGTTGGTTGTGGTTTTGTTTCATGTCCATGTTTTCTTTTCTTTCAGTAGATTTCGTCATGTTCCTGTTGGTCAAGTGACTTTCTTGCCTTCATCTGATAACATCTTGTGCTTCCCTATCCACCAATTTCATGGTTAGCAAATTTCCTAGTTAGGAAAATAATAGCGGCTTTGAACCGGAAGTTGGTTGTCGTTTTCCGGTTCAAAGCTTCTGTGCGTTTGGTAGCTTGTAGCTTGCTATCTTGTTTGCTGTAAAAGCTGGTGTTTCTCCATGGATGAAGCACAAATGGACAAATAAAACTGGCTAGATGACATAAAGCAACATGAAGCTCAATGGTTCATTGCTTTCGTGTGGCTTATGTCATTGGTCCTTACTATATACAGCCCTCATGTTATTGTCTCTTGTCTTGCTTTGTTTCATGTAATGCTGTTTAAGTTTTATGTTTCAAATCATGTTTAAGTTGTTTTTTTTTAACAGTGAAGTGCAGATCTGCTGAAATTTAAATTAGAAAAATAAGTGAGTAACATTCGACTGGTCTGTCATAATTTATGTAAATATATAAGAAGTGCAAAATATCATAAGTATTAAAAACTGTTAGAAAGGTCATAAAACTGACCAAAACCACACATATTTCAATATCTAATATGGCTTGAAAATGTCTATAAATGTGTTGCGTTTGCCACTGGATCACTTTATAATGTTCTTCAAACCTTTAACATTCAATGCACTAGTAAATACTATTGTCCTTATAATCATAGACTGTGGTTATAAAGCATTATTTGTAGAAACAAAAAAAAAACCCTAGTACGGCTTTTCTATACGCATAGGGCGCATGTCTAAATATGGACATTCTAGCACTTGAGCTAATCTTACCTGAACAGGGCGAATGATCAAATACAGTCTCAACATTTTTCATTTTTTTTTGTAAGAAAACGCACATGGCTTCAATTCAACTCTCCTTCGGTGGATTAATCATTACATTATCTCCATTAAAGCCCATAATTCCAGTTTCAATGTAAAACTCTAGTAACTCTTGCTCATCATTAGTCCTGACAGCTGCAATCTAGTTTTATTTTGTGCTTCTTGTATGAAACTGAGTGTGTTTATGCATGTGGCTATCTATATAAAGGTCTTCACTGGTGCTGTATTTGTCTACACATCCACATCTGAGGTTTCTATGTTTTAGGCGGTCTTTATCATGAGATAAAACAATCACTCGTATTATTAAAGTCAGGGTATTTTTAAGTGGGCCATTTCAAATGGACTCCAAGGGATTTGAACGTTTGCGTGAAGGCTAAAGATTTCTCCATGCAGATTTTTGCAACAGCTTCAAGTTGGTCATGTGTAATTTGGTGTGTTGACCAACAGAAAGGTGCTTAGTTTGAAAGTGACCTCAGTGTGAGCTGTACCGAATCTGGTTACCATGATTTTGTAAAACATGTTCCTGGGTCAACATATTTTGTTGTCTATGGAGCAACATTCCTGTCTGTAAATTTGGTCCTAACAATATCTTTACCCCTACTCGTAAGTTAACCATCAAATCACAGGGACATGACAGGTGAATATCACTGACGTAGAAGCATGTGAGGGATCAAGCAGTCAAGGGCAAATTACACAGGATTTCCAATCAAAAAATTACTTATTAAATACTAAAAAAAAAAGTTACAAAATCAAACTAGTTGAAGGAATGAATATTAAGTCAAGTCTGGGCCCAGAACAAAAAAAAAGGGGCAACTAAACAAACCCAACTTAACCCTTTATAGTGCACTCAATGAAATTATTGGAAATTCTAAATTTCAACCATAGAGTGTTGTTGGAGGCTATAAGACTGAAACATTTGTGAGTTTTTAAATTTTTTTAGGTTGGAAATCAAGGGCAATTAAGTTAACATATATGGTTCCTCACCAGTTTAGGGTATTCTTTTCCCTTAAAAAGTGTATATATAAAAATACAATAAAAACACACAAACTTGTTAACAAGATAAAAATATTTAATTAGAAACATTTTAAATTAAATTACACCCCTTGGCAGAGGGGCCTATATCACTCTGGCCTGGAGTGTCTAGGTTGTGGGTGGTTGGGAGGAAGTCAGAGTCTGCCACATCATCATCTTCCTCCTCAGAGCCCGCATCACTGATGCTGGGGTGGGCTGGCACAACCGTCTCCCTCTTGCCGTAAAAGATTCGTGTAGATAGCTGCAAAGAACAGAGAGTACATTTGAGTCAATATCAAACCCAGTTTGAGTTATTTGTTGAGTAACAGTGAAGTGCAGATCTACTGAAATTTAAATAAGAAAAATAAGTGAGTAACATTGGACTGGTCTGTCATAATATATGTAAATATACAATACGAAGTCCAAAATATCATTATAAGTATTAAAAACTGTTAGAAAGGTCATAAAACTGACCAAAACCACACATATTTCAATATCTAATATGGCTTGAAAATGTCTATAAATGTGTTGCGTTTGCCACTGGATCACTTTATAATGTTATTCAAACCTTTGATAACATTCAATGCACTAGTAAATACTATTGTCCTTATAATCATAGACTGTGGTTATAATGCATTATTTGTAGAAAAAAAATACCCTAGTACGGCTTTTCTATACGCATAGGGCGCATGTCTAAATATGGACATTCTAGCACTTGCGCTAATCTTACCTGAACAGGGCGAATGATCAAATATAGTCTCACCAGTAGCGCTGATGTGGGAGTAGGTATTAGCACACAACCTCACTTTCCAAGATCCGGAACGACACTGAAGTTTGAAATGCTCGGCGCAACTTCTGATTGGTCAGATGCCAAGGTGTGACCATCAGTGACGTAGCATGATCTTCCCTGTTTGGCTAGGAGAAATATATGTGCTCATACGACAACGCAAACAGGCTGGGCAGAGTCAGTTTGAATGCATGATTAACTTACAAAATATGGTTACTCACCCCCATAACGGCCAGCAATCAAATCAACCCAACATGAACTTCTCAATGACGCACATGGGGAACTTATATATACAGAGGACTAGTCCATTGAACATACACAGGGGACACCACAATCATCACTTAACAATTACAATAAAATACAATAATTAACACAAATTGTCAATAAAGAGGTCATAAAATAAACTTACTCAACTAATTAAATAAAAAATAAACACGTAATCTGTAAATAGAATAAACAAAACTAACATATAATAAATCACCCCCCCCCCCCCCTTGCTAATTGGCAACATGGATTAACCCAGTAGTATAAAACGGCAGCCACTGACACCATCCAGTCCTTTAGGAATGGACCTCCACTGGAGCTCTGCGTCCCAGGCTGCCCTCAAACCTCTACTTTCCACATGCAGGTAACTCAAACTCAAAGAAAGAAACTTTAACACAATATATCATTGACAACTAGAAAGTGTGCATCCTTGTAAGTGGGGTTTCAACATTTGAAAACATGGAGAAATATGTTTGTCTGAGTTGGTTGTGGTTTTGTTTCATGTCCATGTTTTCTTTTCTTTCAGTAGATTTCGTCATGTTCCTGTTGGTCAAGTGACTTTCTTGCCTTCATCTGATAACATCTTCTGCTTCCCTATCCACCAATTTCATGGTTAGCAAATTTCCTAGTTAGCAAAATAATAGCAGATTTGAACCGGAAGTTGGTTGTCGTTTTCCGGTTCAAAGCTTCTGTGCGTTTGGTAGCTTGTAGCTTGCTATCTTGTTTGCTGTAAAAGCTGGTGTTTCTCCATGGATGAAGCACAAATGGACAAATAAAACTGGCTAGATGACATAAAGCAACATGAAGCTCAATGGTTCATTGCTTTCGTGTGGCTTATGTCATTGGTCCTTACTATATACAGCCCTCATGTTATTGTCTCTTGTCTTGCTTTGTTTCATGTAATGCTGTTCGTTAAGTTTTATGTTTCAAATCATGTTTAAGTAGTTTTGTTTTTGTAAGAAAACGCTCATGGGTTCAATTCAACTCTCCTTTGGTGGACTTATCATTACACTGTCTCCATTAAAGCCCATAATTGCAGTTTCAATGTAAAACTCTAGTAACTCTTGCTCATCATTAGTCCTGACAGCTGCAATCTAGTTTTATTTTGTGCTTCTTGTATGAAACTGAGTGTGTTTATGCATGTGGCTATCTATATAAAGGTCTTCACTGGTGCTGTATTTGTCTACACATCCACATCTGAGGTTTCTATGTTTTAGGCGGTCTTTATCATGAGATAAAACAATCACTCGTATTATTAAAGTCAGGGTATTTTTAAGTGGGCCATTTCAAATGGACTCCAAGGGATTTGAACGTTTGCGTGAAGGCTAAAGATTTCTCCATGCAGATTTTTGCAACAGCTTCAAGTTGGTCATGTGTAATTTGGTGTGTTGACCAACAGAAAGGTGCTTAGTTTGAAAGTGACCTCAGTGTGAGCTGTACCGAATCTGGTTACCATGATTTTGTAAAACATGTTCCTGGGTTAACATATTTTGTTGTCTATGGAGCAACATTCCTGTCTGTTAATTTGGTCCTAACAATATCTTTACCCCTACTCGTAAGTTAACCATCAAATCACAGGGACATGACAGGTGAATATCACTGACGTAGAAGCATGTGAGGGATCAAGCAGTCAAGGGCAAATTACACAGGATTTCCAATCAAAAAATTACTTATTAAATACTAAAAAAAAAAGTTACAAAATCAAACTAGTTGAAGGAATGAATATTAAGTCAAGTCTGGGCCCAGAACAAAAAAAAAGGGGCAACTAAACAAACCCAACTTAACCCTTTATAGTGCACTCAATGAAATTATTGGAAATTCTAAATTTCAACCATAGAGTGTTGTTGGAGGCTATAAGACTGAAACATTTGTGAGTTTTTAAATTTTTTTAGGTTGGAAATCAAGGGCAATTAAGTTAACATATATGGTTCCTCACCAGTTTAGGGTATTCTTTTCCCTTAAAAAGTGTATATATAAAAATACAATAAAAACACACAAACTTGTTAACAAGATAAAAATATTTAATTAGAAACATTTTAAATTAAATTACACCCCTTGGCAGAGGGGCCTATATCACTCTGGCCTGGAGTGTCTAGGTTGTGGGTGGTTGGGAGGAAGTCAGAGTCTGCCACATCATCATCTTCCTCCTCAGAGCCCGCATCACTGATGCTGGGGTGGGCTGGCACAACCGTCTCCCTCTTGCCGTAAAAGATTCGTGTAGATAGCTGCAAAGAACAGAGTACATTTGAGTCAATATCAAACCCAGTTTGAGTTATTTGTTGAGTAACAGTGAAGTGCAGATCTACTGAAATTTAAATAAGAAAAATAAGTGAGTAACATTGGACTGGTCTGTCATAATATATGTAAATATACAATACGAAGTCCAAAATATCATTATAAGTATTAAAAACTGTTAGAAAGGTCATAAAACTGACCAAAACCACACATATTTCAATATCTAATATGGCTTGAAAATGTCTATAAATGTGTTGCGTTTGCCACTGGATCACTTTATAATGTTATTCAAACCTTTGATAACATTCAATGCACTAGTAAATACTATTGTCCTTATAATCATAGACTGTGGTTATAATGCATTATTTGTAGAAAAAAAATACCCTAGTACGGCTTTTCTATACGCATAGGGCGCATGTCTAAATATGGACATTCTAGCACTTGCGCTAATCTTACCTGAACAGGGCGAATGATCAAATATAGTCTCACCAGTAGCGCTGATGTGGGAGTAGGTATTAGCACACAACCTCACTTTCCAAGATCCGGAACGACACTGAAGTTTGAAATGCTCGGCGCAACTTCTGATTGGTCAGATGCCAAGGTGTGACCATCAGTGACGTAGCATGATCTTCCCTGTTTGGCTAGGAGAAATATATGTGCTCATACGACAACGCAAACAGGCTGGGCAGAGTCAGTTTGAATGCATGATTAACTTACAAAATATGGTTACTCACCCCCATAACGGCCAGCAATCAAATCAACCCAACATGAACTTCTCAATGACGCACATGGGGAACTTATATATACAGAGGACTAGTCCATTGAACATACACAGGGGACACCACAATCATCACTTAACAATTACAATAAAATACAATAATTAACACAAATTGTCAATAAAGAGGTCATAAAATAAACTTACTCAACTAATTAAATAAAAAATAAACACGTAATCTGTAAATAGAATAAACAAAACTAACATATAATAAATCACCCCCCCCCCCCCCTTGCTAATTGGCAACATGGATTAACCCAGTAGTATAAAACGGCAGCCACTGACACCATCCAGTCCTTTAGGAATGGACCTCCACTGGAGCTCTGCGTCCCAGGCTGCCCTCAAACCTCTACTTTCCACATGCAGGTAACTCAAACTCAAAGAAAGAAACTTTAACACAATATATCATTGACAACTAGAAAGTGTGCATCCTTGTAAGTGGGGTTTCAACATTTGAAAACATGGAGAAATATGTTTGTCTGAGTTGGTTGTGGTTTTGTTTCATGTCCATGTTTTCTTTTCTTTCAGTAGATTTCGTCATGTTCCTGTTGGTCAAGTGACTTTCTTGCCTTCATCTGATAACATCTTCTGCTTCCCTATCCACCAATTTCATGGTTAGCAAATTTCCTAGTTAGCAAAATAATAGCAGATTTGAACCGGAAGTTGGTTGTCGTTTTCCGGTTCAAAGCTTCTGTGCGTTTGGTAGCTTGTAGCTTGCTATCTTGTTTGCTGTAAAAGCTGGTGTTTCTCCATGGATGAAGCACAAATGGACAAATAAAACTGGCTAGATGACATAAAGCAACATGAAGCTCAATGGTTCATTGCTTTCGTGTGGCTTATGTCATTGGTCCTTACTATATACAGCCCTCATGTTATTGTCTCTTGTCTTGCTTTGTTTCATGTAATGCTGTTCGTTAAGTTTTATGTTTCAAATCATGTTTAAGTAGTTTTGTTTTTGTAAGAAAACGCTCATGGGTTCAATTCAACTCTCCTTTGGTGGACTTATCATTACACTGTCTCCATTAAAGCCCATAATTGCAGTTTCAATGTAAAACTCTAGTAACTCTTGCTCATCATTAGTCCTGACAGCTGCAATCTAGTTTTATTTTGTGCTTCTTGTATGAAACTGAGTGTGTTTATGCATGTGGCTATCTATATAAAGGTCTTCACTGGTGCTGTATTTGTCTACACATCCACATCTGAGGTTTCTATGTTTTAGGCGGTCTTTATCATGAGATAAAACAATCACTCGTATTATTAAAGTCAGGGTATTTTTAAGTGGGCCATTTCAAATGGACTCCAAGGGATTTGAACGTTTGCGTGAAGGCTAAAGATTTCTCCGTGCAGATTTTTGCAAGAGCTTCAAGTTGGTCATGTGTAATTTGGTGTGTTGACCAACAGAAAGGTGCTTAGTTTGAAAGTGACCTCAGTGTGAGCTGTACCGAATCTGGTTACCATGATTTTGTAAAACATGTTCCTGGGTTAACATATTTTGTTGTCTATGGAGCAACATTCCTGTCTGTTAATTTGGTCCTAACAATATCTTTACCCCTACTCGTAAGTTAACCATCAAATCACAGGGACATGACAGGTGAATATCACTGACGTAGAAGCATGTGAGGGATCAAGCAGTCAAGGGCAAATTACACAGGATTTCCAATCAAAAAATTACTTATTAAATACTAAAAAATAACATTACAAAATCAAACTAGTTGAAGGAATGAATGAAAATGAAGTCAAGTCTGGGCCCATAACAAAAAAAGGGGCAACTAAACAAACCCAACTTAACCCTTTATAGTGCACTCAATGAAATTATTGGAAATTCTAAATTTCAACCATAGAGTGTTGTTGGAGGCTATAAGACTGAAACATTTGTGAGTTTTTAATTTTTTTTTAGGTTGGAAATCAAGGGCAATTAAGTTAACATATATGGTTCCTCACCAGTTTAGGGTATTCTTTTCCCTTAAAAAGTGTATATATAAAAATACAATAAAAACACAAATTTGTTAACAAGATAAAAATATTTAATTAGAAACATTTTAAATTAAATTACACCCCTTGGCAGAGGGGCCTATATCACTCTGGCCTGGAGTGTCTAGGTTGTGGGTGGTTGGGAGGAAGTCAGAGTCTGCCACATCATCATCTTCCTCCTCAGAGCCCGCATCACTGATGCTGGGGTGGGCTGGCACAACCGTCTCCCTCTTGCCGTAAAAGATTCGTGTAGATAGCTGCAAAGAACAGAGAGTATATTTGAGTAAATATCAAACCCAGTTTTTTGTTGAGTAACAGTGAAGTGCAGATCTACTGAAATTTAAATAAGAAAAATAAGTGAGTAACATTGGACTGGTCTGTCATAATATATGCAAATATACAATACGAAGTCCAAAATATCATTATAAGTATTAAAAACTGTTAGAAAGGTCATAAAACTGACCAAAACCACACATATTTCAATATCTAATATGGCTTGAAAATGTCTATAAATGTTTTGCGTTTGCCACTGGATCACTTTATAATGTTATTCAAACCTTTGATAACGTTCAATGCATTAGTAAATACTATTGTCCTTATAATCATAGACTGTGGTTATAATGCATTATTTGTAGAAAAAAAATACCCTAGTACGGCTTTTCTATACGCATAGGGCGCATGTCTAAATATGGACATTCTAGCACTTGCGCTAATCTTACCTGAACAGGGCGAATGATCAAATATAGTCTCACCAGTAGCGCTGATGTGGGAGTAGGTATTAGCACACAACCTCACTTTCCAAGATCCGGAACGACACTGAAGTTTGAAATGCTCGGCGCAACTTCTGATTGGTCAGATGCCAAGGTGTGACCATCAGTGACGTAGCATGATCTTCCCTGTTTGGCTAGGAGAAATATATGTGCTCATACGACAACGCAAACAGGCTGGGCAGAGTCAGTTTGAATGCATGATTAACTTACAAAATATGGTTACTCACCCCCATAAAGGACAGCCATCAAATCAACCCAACATGAACTTCTCAATGACGCACATGGGGAACTTATATATACAGAGGACTAGTCCATTAAACATACACAGGGGACACCACAATCATCACTTAACAATTACAATAAAATAAAATAATTAACTAAAATTGTCAATAAAGAGGTCATAAAATAAACTTACTCAACTAATTATAATAGAAAATAAACACGTAATCTGTAAATAGAATAAACAAAACTAACATATAATCAATCACCCCCCCCCCCCCCCCCTGCTAATTGGCAACATGGATTAACCCAGCAGTATAAAACGGCAGCCACTGACACCATCCAGTCCTTTAGGAATGGACCTCCACTGGAGCTCTGCGTCCCAGGCTGCCCTCAAACCTCTACTTTCCACATGCAGGTAACTCAAACTCAAAGAAAGAAACTTTAACACAATATATCATTGACAACTAGAAAGTGTGCATCTGGTTATGGTTTGCTCCTTGTAAGTGGCGTTTCAACATTTGAAAACATGGAGAAATATGTTTGTCTGAGTTGGTTGTGGTTTTGTTTCATGTCCATGTTTTCTTTTCTTTCAGTAGATTTCGTCATGTTCCTGTTGGTCAAGTGACTTTCTTGCCTTCATCTGATAACATCTTGTGCTTCCCTATCCACCAATTTCATGGTTAGCAAATTTCCTAGTTAGGAAAAGAATAGCGGCTTTGAACCGGAAGTTGGTTTTCCGGTTCAAAGCTTCTGTGCGTTTGGTAGCTTGTAGCTTGCTATCTTGGTTGCTGTAAAAGCTGGTGTTTCTCCATGGATGAAGCACAAATGGACAAATAAAACTGGCTAGATGACATAAAGCAACATGAAGCTCAATGGTTCATTGCTTTCGTGTGGCTTATGTCATTGGTCCTTACTATATACAGCCCTCATGTTATTGTCTCTTGTCTTGCTTTGTTTCATGTAATGCTGTTTGTTAAGTTTTTTGTTTCAAATCATGTTTAAGTAGTTTTGTTTTTGTAAGAAAACGCTCATGGGTTCAATTCAACGCTCCTTTGGTGGACTTATCATTACACTATCTCCATTAAAGCCCATAATTGCAGTTTCAATGTAAAACTCTAGTAACTCTTGCACATCATTAGTCCTGACAGCTGCAATCTAGTTTTATTTTGTGCTTCTTGTATGAAACTGAGTGTGTTTATGCATGTGGCTATCTAGCTGAAGGTGTTCACTGGTGCTGTATTTGTCTACACATCCACATCTGAGGTTTCTATGTTTTAGCCAGTCTTTATCATGAGATAATAAACATCAATCACTCATATTATTAAAGTATTAAAGTCAGGGTATTTTTAAGTGGGCCATTTCAAATGGACTCCAAGGGATTTGAACGTTTGCATGAAAGCTAAAGATTTCTCCATGCAGATTTTTGCAAGAACTTCAAGTTGGTCATGTGTAATTTGGTGTGTTGACCAACAGAAAGGTGCTTAGTTTGAAAGTGACCTCAGTGTGAGCTGTACCGAATCTGGTTACCGTGATTTTGTAAAACATGTTCCTGGGTTAACATATTTTGTTGTCTATGGAACCACATTCCTGTCTGTTAATTTGGTCCTAACAATATCTTTACCCCTAAACATAACCCGTAAGTTAACCATCAAATCACAGGGACATGACAGGTGAATATCACTGATGTAGTACACAGGTTTTCCAATCAAATGCCTTGCCCACCAGTGAAAAAAGTTGGGCGGCATGACTTGGTGGGTTAGGTACGACGAAGCATCAGGGGAGCGATATATAGCAGCCAAAGTCTCAACCGTGTTCATTGTCCCATAGCCATTCTCTTTAAAGGGGTGGTATAATGCCCCTTTTTACAATACGTAAAATAAGTCCCTGTTATCATCAGAGTGTGTATTTTTAGTAAGTTTTAGCTTAAAATAACCCAAAGATAATTTTGTACAGCATGTTAAAGTTGTCCCTTTTTGAGGGTCAGTAAAAACACGTCGTTTTGTGCGTGTCCCAACTCCCTTTAATTGGTAATTAGCTGTTGATCCAGGCACAGAGGGCGGAGCTTTAACAACCCCAGTGTGTGTGTGTGTTTGTTACCTCACGCAGACAAGCACTAAAATTTTAGAAACTGATCTTCCTTTTATGTTTAAAGGTGCATTGCGCAACTTTTCATGTTAAAAATAGCCGTTTTCTAACCCATACATGCTTAAACAATCGCCTGATGGGCTGAATGAGCCCTTCTTTGATCACTGCGATCGCCTCTATAACCCTGTACAGTGAAATATATAAGAGGGATTCGGGCTCGAATCTGAGACTGGGCGTGACGTCATGCGCGTTCACGCTCGCCTGGCTATGTCTGGCAGGTTCGTGTAGCTATTCGCCGCCGTTCTCCGTATCAGAGAAGACAACTCGAGCGACACAACTCTAGTCAGCTTTCCACAAAAGTAGACGATGGATTCAAAGGGGCTGTTTACACCTGGTCACTTCATGTACGTGTCTTCTGTGATCGGATAGCTATTCGATCGTGAAAAGACCAGAGTGTAAATGCCCTCCGAAACGCATTCGAGACGGATTTGAATTCGATCGCTCAAACCACTTGAGGACGTGGTCTGTGCCGTATTCCAGACGAAACTGGACAAGTGTAAATGCATCTGGTTGTTGAAACCAAGCTGTCATGATATTTTAGTCATATATGACGACGCGCATCACCTGAGCAGCTGAGCTGAGCCCCTTCATCAAGCGCCGCAATCTATCGCAAATCAAAGTGAATTAGTGAAAGTAAGTCGCAGACGCTTAACACTACCATCTTCATTAAAAGTAAAGAAATGAAATGATCTTACCAGTTCTGTTGCCGATCTCTCTTATTGCTGTCTTTGCTGATTTTGAAATTAGCCGATGATTAATAAAATCCAGCTCATATCTGTTGCTTTCGGTGACGTGCACTTCATTAAATCTGTATATGGCGCGGAAAGAGACCGGCTTGTAACTCATTACAAACCCCAACGCAAACTCCACGTGAGACAGAAAATAAAACTTCTGTCTGTCCAGTGCCATGCGTCGGAATAAGACGAGAGTCGACATCGGGAAGCTTTCAACAAACGGAGAGATCTCCGTCGTCTCTAGGGCTCAAACGGGTCATAGCCTATACAAAGTGATAACTGAACGTGTTTCCATAATAATTCAATCATAAGTGGATACAGTAAGCACAGGGAGATAGATGGAAACAAAAACCGAAGTTTTCTACTACCCCCGTTTCCCCCTCTCACACAAGTGTGTAATTTACTCGAATGCCTTTCCTTTCATATATTTTAAATGACTTGCAGATTTATTACTGTATTACCTCATTATGACTGTAACAAAAGATGTGTGCCGCACAGTGTGCGGCTGATGCTCCTTAGTTATGAACAACAGCTCGTGCAAACGTGCGTATGTGTGTGTGTGTGTGTGTGTTCCTCCATGAACGCGCACAGCTCTGGTTGCAGTTTCGCTTGTCGCCAGAGGGGGCGTAGTTCTGCAAAAACTCAGAGACTTGCGTTTAGCTCCTTTAAACTGGAGTCGGACAATGATGGAGAGACTCAAGCAGAAGTGACAACATGTAGAATGCAACAGGACGTTTCTGAATGGTTAGTTGATGGTTAATTTATGGTATTTAGCTGATGTGGAGTTAACTATCTTCAAGTCAGTGATTAGTATATTCTGTCATGATGATCTATAAATCGCTCGTGTGGTAACTGTTTTAAGATGCATGTCAGTGTTGGTAAGATGTCAGTGTTGGGAAAGTTCACTTTCTACATGAACTAGTTCAAAGTTCAGTTCACATATTTTTAAAATGAACTAGTTCAGTTAATAGTTTTTTTTCCCCCATATGTTGCGAGCTTTTTTTTTATTGCCACAGCCTATATACAACCAAAGACACCAATTATTTTATCGATGGGCAAAGTTTGCACAGAAATGTAAGATTTTTCCCATCCTCACCGACCTCGTCATAACCCGTATGATCATACGACGCCTCTTTGTTGCCAGATTGGGTGTTTTTCGCTACAAATTCAAGCCTGTTTACGTGTGTTTTAGCCGGGTTTTCGCCTGGAAAGCTCTATAGAAATCTGCCACCCTATTGTACGAAGTAAAACTGAGAGAGCGTGCGTTCACAGACACCAGAATGAACGCATTCATAGTAACGTTCATCAGGCAGTAATACAGTACATTCAGTTCACGTTCGCCCAAAATATGAACGTGTTCAGGCACACCACTGCAAACATTTTGCATGTGAAAAGATGGATGCAACAGCTTGAACAGACTCACAAATGTGCTCTACTACAACATCTCTTCCTCTTCTCAACATGGACTGTGTTCCCGGGGGCAGGTTTATGTAAATTTTAGGGTTGGTGATGGCTATCCCGGTAGGAATGTCGTTTAGTCCCAGCCCGGTCTCATCCCAAGTCGCATATACTGGTGCTTTTGACATTTCGTCTACATCCAAAGCACATGGCACCCTTTAGCATCAATATGAGAGGCAGATATATATATATATATGGGCCAGAAGGCACCTCCTAGTGGTCTAACCTTAACTCTAACCCTACCCCAGACCTAAACCTACCCATACCCGAACAAAGCTCTGTATGTGTTATATTGACGATAAAGTGTGCCATGTGCGTTGGATTTAGACGAAATGTCAAAAACGTCACTGTATGACAGCCTAGGATGAGAATGTGTTGGTAGTCCTTAAAAAACTATTTCTTTAAAAGCAAATATCTTCAAATAGCTTTGAACTTTGAGCATTGTAACTTTGCAGATGTTGTTTATGCTCAGCAGCAACATTAAAGTTAGAAAAGTGAAATCATAATCACTCCTTGAAGCCCCACAATCGAAGAATAATGATGGATTGTGGGACTAGATATGTGGGAGGAGAATGTTTTTTTTCTCGATCTTGTCACCTCAGTGACAAGTGACAAGAACGGTAAGCCCTGACGTAGAGGTTGTAGCTGTGACTGCAAAAATACGTTCAACTAATTTGCTTTTTCAAGTCAAGTCAAGTCACATTTATTTATATAGCGCTTTTTACCATACAGATTGTATCAAAGCAGCTTCACAGTGATAACATGAAATGTTTTTTCTAATCGCTTCCCACTTCTCGGCTGGCCAGTCAATGTTTTAAATGTTTTAAGACTATAGTTGCACACATGCCTCAGGCGCAGTCACTCTGAGTTCCCCAAAGAGTCAGCTGGCACGCAGCGAAAGTTCCCTCCAAAGGGAACCTGAACAAAAACATATGTAAAGCATACATTTATTTTAGGATATGCTGTTTTAATGAATATTTAAACTTTTGAAAAATATAGAAGATATTTAAAAACACATTGTCTTGTCACTTTTTATCAAACAGGTGAATGAGACCATCTACTACAATGCCAAGGACAAGGTAAGATTTCATTTTTTAAAATACATATTATGATAAGCACTAAACAATATTAAGATGTAATTTAAAGAATTAAAAAAAAATTTTTTTGAGAGATTTCCCTTTTTATGTTCCTAGTTTCACATTAATGACACGGAAATGATCCAAAACCGGGTCCGACCAGAATTCAAAGAGGATCCTGCTTTCAAACGCCTTGTTTCATACAATACGACAGCAGTGCACATTCCCACAGATATTTATGAGGGCTGTGAGTATACACACACACACACACACACACACACACACACTCATCTAAACATGTTCTTTTTTAGGTCTACTAAAATCTGTTTATAAAATCAATCTTTCAGTGACCGCTCAGCTTTATCGCTGTGTGTTAGGTGTGGACAGCCAGAGGCATGTGGGAAAAACTACAGACTAAATTTAGAGAGCAGTCCAGCTCTAGCACGCCTGGCCCATGAGTGACCCCACAACCCCCTAATATCCTCCAGCAAGAGAATAACTCACACTCTCTGTCTTTTGCTTTAAAAGGTTATTGATTATGAGTGTTTTCAGGTTTCTACCAGTGTTAAGAAAGCTAGTATATTATGAGTAGCTTGTAACCTCTAGTATTTAATTAATAAATAGATACATATGGATATTAGATGCACACAAAGATATGTATTATAATAATCCATTTTAGTCAGTTTGATCTGTTTTTGACACTTTATACATTTAATTATTTATTACCTACGACTTTTGCCTCAACAAACTCCTAACTTATTAACAGTCGGTAAGGTAGTAATCGAATAAGGCATTATTATGTTCTTTATAACTTAAGTACTAATAAATTGCCAATATAGTAAAATGCACGCTAATAGTTAATATTGAAAATTGGACCCTAAGCTAAAGTGTTACCAATAGTTTTATTCAACAAGCGTGCTTTATATTAAATAAAAGTGGCAGTAAAGACATTTATAATGTTTCAAAATATTTATTTTTCATATGAATGCTGTTCTTTTGAACTTTATATTCATCAGAGAAACCTGAAAAAAAAAAGATCACGGATTCCACACAGCACAACTTTTTTCAACATTGATAATAATAAGAATTTTCTTTTTCTTGAGCAACAAATCAGCATATTAGAATGAATTCTGAAGGATCACGTCACACTGAAGACTGAAGACTAATAGAAAATAGTTATTTTAAATTGTAATAATTTTTCACAATATTACTGTTTACTGTATTTTCGAACAATTAAAACCACAAAACAATTCAAAGTTTCAAGGAGGAACCCAACTTTTTTTAACTCACTTTTTTTTCATTACCATGTCCATTCAAGGGCTCCACAAGAGATAGCAAGCTTAGTACACTAGTATAGTATATCAGCCAAAGTATTTTTGCATTTCACTAGTTAACCCCACCCACGATACATCTCATTGGTCCCTTATGACTGGATGTTAAACATCAAATGTGTATGTTGGCTGTGATTTGCAACACTATTATATTGGTCAAAATGGCTATTGCTCCTTCTTAAGAGTCACGAGATGTATCATATTCTCTGTGTTGGCACAAATCTGTTGTCCTCAGCGGTCGACTCACATGTGAGTGTTTCACAGGGCAAATGAGTTTGATGTGATATTTGTGTTCTAGATGAGCACTGAAGAAGCCGTGTTCATCATATGACTCATCTCGCTCTGTCCAGCTGTCTCTCTTGATCTACTTTTACTCACTTCAAATTACTCTCAGTACCTTTTGCTTTCCGCCTGATTTTCTTGGTCCAGCAGCATTGCTTAGTGCTTACCCATAACCCCTTCCCAGCGACAGCCACTGGGTGAAGTTTTCAGGCAATATTCATTATTTTTCATTAAATCACATTTTTTCCCAACTCTCTATATTTAATAATAGTTTGTTATGTAATAATGTGGCTGATTATTCAAGTGTTTGTGTACTTTTATATGTGTGTGTGTCTGTGTGTGTTATTGGAGGCTCTGGGCTGTCTGTATTTGTGTCTTATTAAGACACGAATCTGTACTTTTTGCCTCAACACAGCGTGTCATCTGTCACCACAATCTCAAGATGGACATAGACATGCTCAGAGTGTGTGTGTAAGAGAGAGCACGATGACGTGTGTATGTCACACAGATCCCTCTGGCTGTGCTCATAGTGCTCAGATTGTTTTTTTCTGTTGACTATCTGCCCTGATTCATTTAAACCAATGGAAGTTGTCGTCAAATCTTCCCCCACATACTCTCTCTCTCTCTTTCTCTCTCATGGCGCATAGTCGACCGGCGATCGCTCTTCTAAAAAAAAACTATTTCTACCTGCGTCTGTTATTGCAGTTTCACATTCCCATATTTAAAAAAAATTTATCATGGCAGAGATGGTTTAAGATTTTGATACTGGTATTATGTAAAATTGGAGTCTGATCACCAATAACATTGTTTGTTACTGTTGTATACCTCAGAGTATACAATATATATATATATATATATATATATATATATATATATATATATATTAGGGCTGTGCAAAAGTTAATTGCGATTAATCGCATCCAAAATAAAAGTCTGTGTTTACATAATATATTTGTGTGTGCTGTAATTATTTTGTATATATAAATACCTATGCATGCATGTATATATTTAAGAATTATTTGCGCTTAAATTCTGTATATATTTATAAATACATAATCTATATTATATAAATATAAATATTTTATATATGAATAACACATTTTCTTAAATGTATACATGCATGTGTGTGTATTTATATATACAAAATAATTATATACAGCACACACAAATATATTATGTAAACACAGACTTTTATTTTGGATGCGATTAATCGCAATTAATTTTTGCACAGCCCTAATATATATATATATATATATCATATACAATATATATGTTTTTGTTTGATTTATGTAAGTTACTTACATGATTCATATATTTTGATTTAAACCATTTATTAGGTCACACCCACTGATCTATATAATAAGATTCTATATTATTATATTACATTCTATATTGTCTATTCTATCATTCTATATAGATCAGTGGTCACAGCTCCTAATAGAATCACTGCCTAAATGTTATTTCCATTTTTAACCACACATTTGCTACTGGGCCAGTGATCATTTTGGTCCCAAGTATAGTTGTACAGTCATAGCATAGCGCTTCCAATTTCAAATGACATTTTTGTAATGGGAGTTTAATCTTGCGGAAAGTTATTTGTGCTTCCTTTCCAGACAGAAGCAAATGGAGATTGACAGAGATAGAGATCTGGTTGTATGGGTGTTAGCTAATAAGGATGTGTGTTGTGTCTAAACCTGAAGACTGACAGCCTGATGGATGAACAACAGGAAGGAGTGTGAAACCACATCTGATTCCCCCCCCCCCCCCCCACACACACACACAAATATGTTTGTGATCAGCTACACTCTCATTCACTAATGCACTTCCTTTAGAAACAGTAAATTATGAGGCCTTCATGGACTGTTCTCTCTCTCTCTGTGTCTGTGTGTGTGTGCACGCAGAAGGGAAATCCTCTCATGGGATGATTACAGGCTTTCTTGGTTCTGTACTGATCCTGCAAATTAGCACTCACAATCATCTCCACAACACCACTATTGTGTGTGCAGAGCTATTTCCTTGACCAGTGTGAGAGCTTTTGGCTTGCCATGTATATATATAGTATGGGTAACGCCTAGAGTGACTGGTATCTGAGCATGTGTAAACGCATGCCAAACTATTGGCAGAAATAGCTTTTCAAATCCACCACTTCAAATTCAACCTGACTGTGGCGCAGGCCATTATATCAAGCGACTTCCCGTATACAGGGCTGGTGGAGGGAGTAGGCACAGTAATTTCATGTAATATCATGTACTTACACCACAGCTAGATGCCGCCAACAATACTGTAAGTCATAAGTGTCCTAACATGTCAGTTTCTAGCAACAAATAATTTGTCTGTCCACACTGAAAGCAAAAATGCTGAACAACACTACACAGTCTCGGTCAATCAGAAGATATTTGTTGTTTAATGTTTAATTATGAGGAACAGGGTTGTGAACCAATGGCTGGTTAGGACAAAAATATATGTAGATAACTTGAGCCTGAGGACACGATGCGTGGCTATAAATTGAGTACAATAAACGGAGTACGTACTTTTTTTCCACAATATTTTTTTGAACATTTTTCCAAATTGTTTAAAGCCAGAGTGAGTATACTAGGAGGAAAGACTGAGTGATAGAAATAGAGGGTGATGAAATGTGGCATTTGGCTGCTGATGGACCCTTTTAAAGAATATCGATAGGGTCTGGACTGCTTTCGAGCGAAGCCTGTATCGATTTACACACCTAGAGTGGGAGGAGTCTTAATGGAAAGAGGAAGTGGGTGGCATTAGGGGTAATAAAAGATGTCCCATGGGTTCAAACACACCAGTTCCTTTCAGAATTAGACTGCCAAGGTTGTAATGATTATAATAATGATTTAGTATCATAATACTGAACCAACAGAAGAAATATCAAAGGCTTTTATTTTTATAGAATGAGTCATCATGGTATTAATGTGGCATCATGGGGAATGATGTCACAATCTTTGCTAGAGCACTCATTTATGTTCATTTTTAAAATGTTGGCATCACTCTCGCTGACATAGTGCCCGTTTATGACATTCTCTGGAAATTTTCCTCTAATTCCATTAGAACTGCATTAGCTAATAATTCACTTTGTTGTTTCCTCTACCAGAGCTTCTCCAAGTGGTTTATCACTTTCGAGTTTAGCTTAACATGATGGTGTCTGAAGTTTTGAGAGCCAGTTCATTGATTTATTGCTGAATTGGGCTAGAACAAATCTTATCCAACTGTAAGTTACAATCATTCAATGGGATTTATATTGTATTTTTATGTTTGTAACAGCCACTATAATCCTGAATGAGCTAAACTGGACTGCGGCTTTGGATGAGGTCTTCAGGAAGAACAAGGTAGATGACCCGTCCCTCCTCTGGCAGGTGTTTGGCAGTGCAACTGGCCTGGCTCGATACTTCCCAGGTAGAGCACTGGAACAAATAAGAATATAGTTAACACACATTTCATAGCTGATAGTGCTTTGTGAGGGATGCATTTGGCCATATTGAGCTAAGGGGCCGGTGAACAATGAGCTGGGCAAGAATAAAAGAACTGGACATCAAAAACAAGTGCACTGAACGATACATTTATTTATTTTGAAGGTTAAATCGTGATGAACCGTTCCTCTGTTAACCTCTTAACTATTTTCTTTAGTATCAAAATCATTTTAATTTATTGATTTCTTTTTTTTAAATAAATTATTCCCTCACTCATTGATTGTTTGGTTAATTGATTATTGATTAATTGAACGACTAAACGATAGTAATCCCAGTATCAAATCTGCCATAGCTTCTCCTTGGGTTGACACAAAGAACACACCGAACAAGATCGACCTATATGATGTACGCCGAAGGCCCTGGTGAGTAAACGTGTTTTTTTTTTTTTTTTTTAAAATCTTCATGTGTGTCTGCATGTAAGGAGATAAAAAGTGCTATTTTGTTTATTTGCTCTCTCAGTTGTTATGCCTGATGTTTTTTCTCCTGTGTGTGTTTGCAGGTATATCCAGGGTGCAGCTTCACCTAAAGACATGTTGATCCTGGTGGATGCGTGAGTGAATTCTCTGTGATTTACTGTTACAGTTCATACACTCACTGACACAAAGTCACTGAGCTGAATCCTGATTCGGTTGTGCACTTTGAGTAATTGGTTTATCAGCATAATGTAATTTTTCATTGCGTCTGACAGATTCCACACTATCCACTTAAAGAACTTGTGTTAGTTCAGCATTAGAGTCATTTATCAACATTAGAGAGAGAGATGCTGATTAAAGAATGACACAATGTGGCGCTGAGCCAATGCAAAGTGAGGGTAATAAACATGAAAAAAAAATTGAGGTCTTTGGCAGACTGTTTAATAGAGTTGTTTTATTAAATTAAGAAGGTAATGAATATCAAACATTGAAGCAAAAAAAAAAAATGCATCTTTGTTTCTATAATGCTCCTAAAACTATTCACAACTTATTAATTACATTTATTACATTCAAAATAAAGAAGCACATTAGTATGGAAGCTTGTTTCCGCCACAGAATGAAAAATAAAAAAGGTAGTTGCGACTTTTTTGAGTTTACATCTCGCACTTCTGACTTTATTTGTCAGAATTGCGTGATATTAAGTCAGAATTGCGAGATATTAAGTCAGAATTGCGTGTTATAAAGTCAGAATTGCCAGATATAAAGTAAGAATTGCGAGATATAAACTATTCTGAGGGGAAAAACGTTTTTTTTTCCCTAAGAATTGGCCTGATATCTCACAATTCTGAGAAGAAGATATCAGAATTTCGACATATAAACTTACAATTATGTGTTATAAAGTCAGAATTGTGAGATGTACTGTAAACTCGCAATTGTGAGAAAAAAAGTCAGAATTGTGACATAAAAGTCGCAATTCTGTCTTTTTTTCTCAGAATTGCAACTTTATATCACGCAATTCTGACTTTATATCTCGCAACTCTGACTTTATATCACGCAATTCTGACTTTATATCACGCAATTCTGACTTTATATCTCGCAACTCTGACTTCATATCTCGCAACTCTGACTTTATATCACGCAATTCTGACTTTATATCTCGCAACTCTGACTTTATATCACGCAACTCTGACTTTAAATCTCGCAACTCTGACTTTATATCACGCAACTCTGACTTCATATCTCGCAACTCTGACTTTATATCACGCAATTCTGACTTTATATCTCGCAACTCTGACTTCATATCTCGCAACTCTGACTTTATATCACGCAATTCTGACTTTATATCTCGCAACTCTGACTTTATATCACGCAACTCTGACTTTAAATCTCGCAACTCTGACTTTATATCACGCAACTCTGACTTCATATCTCGCAACTCTGACTTTATATCACGCAATTCTGACTTTATATCTCGCAACTCTGACTTTATATCACGCAACTCTGACTTTAAATCTCGCAACTCTGACTTTATATCACGCAACTCTGACTTCATATCTCGCAACTCTGACTTTATATCTCGCAATTGCGACTTTATATCTCACAACTCTGACTTTATATCACGCAATTCTGACTTTATATCTCGCAACTCTGACTTTATATCACGCAATTGCGACTTTATATCAGGCAATTCTGACTTCATATCTCGCAATTGTGAGATAAAAAGTCACAATTATTATTATTATTATTTTTTTTTTATTCAGTGACGGAAGCAAGCTTCCATACATTAGAGTCATGCTTGGCATTAAAATTACATTTATCAGGTAGATGTAACTGAAAAGTCAAGTTACAGATATGATCCAGAAATAAAATATTCCAAATTCATCAAAAGCAAGCATTTGAGATGAATGTGCATTTTTTTTATCACATTTAATGTCTTTAGGTTAAGAGTGTAATTAGCCTCATTGTATTAGAAAACATGGCCTTGTAGAGTTTATTCTGTTATTGCCCAGCTATAATGATGATGGTGTTGTGCTGTCTGGGCATTGAGCCCATTAGTGTAGATCAGCTTTAGCCAATCAATGTAGTTTAGCTCCCATTGGAATCACAGAGTGATTATTAACCCGTAAAAACCTGATCCAGCATGTCATTTCTTGAGCCGTTAAAAGCCTAAATGTGATATTTCGGTTTTATTATCACTTTTAGGTATTATAAACATGTTCTAACTATGGTGTGCCTCTCTGTAGGAGTGGAAGTGTGTCGGGCCTGACGTTGAAGCTCATTCGCACTTCCGTCAGTGAGATGCTGGAAACCCTCTCTGATGATGATTACGTCAACATCGTCTCTGTGAGTTTACAGGAGATGTGTGTGTTTTGCTGAGAGTTTATTTGAATGATGAACTCCTCTGACGCTCCTCAAAAAAATCTGGATTCCTGCTGACTAGGAATAGAAAGTTTGAGGGAAACAGAGGCATCGAGCCTCCAAGCATCCATAACGTCATAGTTAATTTCAGTTAGGCACCGCTGAGGCGGCACGCCAAAGAATTATTGATGTTTCCCATCATGCTCTGCTTCAGACGCTGTGCAATTCATTTATGAAATGCGTCGTTTATTTTATTTTGTGAGACTACTGACAGGAATAGAAATCACAAACTCTGTGTTCTGCTTTCAGAGTTGTTTTGGATATTTTCAATTAACTTTTTCCCTCGATTCCTTTAATAACTTTGCGCTTGTATTTTATGGCCTGACTCCAGCTGTGTGACGTTAGCTTGACGTTAATGAAATTAGGCAACAGTGCTTTAAGTGTTTTGCTGGCACTGAGCCATGGGACTTGTTTAGAGGAACTGAACAAAGCCTGGAATCTGAATGATGTAAAATTATTTCATAACTGTCCTTGCATGTGTGTGAGTGAGATGTACTGAACCTCACAGTTTTCTTAGATTTTTACTGATAACTTGCCCTTTAACCGCAATGCTTTCATATGGTTTCAGTTCAACAATTCGGCTAAGTCGGTTGCCTGCTTTGAAAACCTGGTCCAAGCAAACGTCCGCAATAAGAAGATTCTGAAGGAGGCGGTGCAGAAGATCACTGCGAACGGCACCACTGACTATAAAATCGGCTTCAAGGAGGCGTTTGACCAGCTCTCCTCAGTAAGAATAAATAATGTAGCTTAAATGTGTAAATCAAGAGCCATTATGGGGCCAAAATATAGCAACATATTTACCACCAAAATGTTTTGTCAATCAGATAAGAAACAGATTTTTATAATCTACACACATGAATGTGTGACCCACAAGTTGAATATAATATATGGTGCATTTTGATATACAAACATTACTTTTTTGCATTACAGAAATTCCTGTCCGATAACAAGTTCAATGTTTAAAGACAAGTTTTTAGTTTATTGCACCATCTTGTGGCCTGTGCTTGTTATAATCAACAAAACTCCACTAATAATATGTTCACATTTTGATTTTATTAACAGCAGCTGTGAATATTAGAGGTTTCACAGTGGTTTACTGTCTCATTTTTCTTGGACTGTTATTGTTATGCTGTCCTGAAACTTTGCACTCGCAAATTGATTTGTTCCTTTTCTAGATGAATGTTTCAAGAGCAAACTGTAATAAGATCATCATGCTATTCACTGATGGAGGGGAGGACAGAGCTTCAGAGATCTTTGATGAGTACAACCCTGAGCAGAAGGTGAGGATCCACACACATACACAACACACACTGACTGAAATACACACACACTCAGCTATATAAATTGGGTCACTCCGTAGACTTCTAGTGTTTTGTGTACAGCGAGGTTATTATAGTTTTGCGTTTTTAAATTAGTTTTTATGTTAAATCATTAAAGAAATTTCGGTGACGCTTTACTTGAAGGGGTGTGCATAAGACTGACATGACACCCTCATAACCATGACATGACATATAGTAGGGTTTATGGCAACTGTCATTAAGTGTCTTTTGCTCAATAATGACATTTTCAATGCAAATATGGAATTGTTTAAGATGTCTTTATGACATCTTGACATAAACCAATAACATCATAACCTGTCAGTGTCTTTGTCATGAAAACTTGACATTAAATTAAGTTAAACTGCCATGTGGTTGGCTTTGACATTGGCTGTCATGAGGCCATTATAACTGTGTCATGAATATTTTTCATGACCTCAACTACAGTGGTACTAATTGAATTTGTCATTAAAAAGTTAAAATGGCTTCATGACAGCCAATGTCAAAACCAACCACCTGACAGTTTAATGTAATGTTAACCAATAAAGCTAGGTGGTTTATGAAGTTTGATAATTAATCTGCTTGTCATGTTTATGACAGGTCGTGTTGTCTTAGTAATGTCAAGTTGTCACGACAAAGACACTGACAGGTTATGATGTATTGGTTTATGTCAAGGTGCCATAACAAACACATCTCAAACAATGTCATATTTGCATTAAAAATGTCATAACTGACCGAATGACACTTAATGGCAGTTTTCATGAACATGCATAAAACTTTCTAACATATGTCATGTGATGATTGTTAAGGTGTCATGTTAGTCTTATGCACACCCCTTCAAGTAAAGTGTTACCAAAATTTCATATACATTTCAGTTTAGTTTTAGTTAGTTTCATTAATGGTTTATTTTAGTTTTTATTTTGCAAACACATTTCTATTTAGTTCTTATATATTTAGTTTCAGTTTTAGCTTCAGTAATTATTGTTTAGCAGAGTTAACAGAACACTTCCATTTAAAGACATTTAATGTTTGCATTTGACAGTTAACTCTTGTGCAAATCTCTTAATAGAAATAAAATTAATTGTTTGAAAACCAAACAAATTGACATTAAAAAAATTCATTCTTACTCATTTATATTAAAATGAAATCTTGTTAAATGTGGTCTATGAGAAAAAAACAACATGCGTACGATTATTATGATTATTTAAGATGATTTAAGATTATTTCTCCTTTCAAACATTATACTTTTATTGATACATTTATGCTTTTTGTCTATTGCATCATTTAAAATCATAAATCATAGTTCTACTCATATTCAAATGTTCTGTTCAGACCAGGCATTTAGTTTACTTATACTCTAACAAATGTACAACTAATTGTGGGCTAGACATGCATGTTGTTTCTGTTTTCTGCTCAGTGTGGTATCTTGTCTAATATGTGTGGTGTCTTGTTTAGTTTCACATCTTACCTGGAATTAAGCTACAGCTATATTTGCATTAAGTCTAGACATGATGGAAATATTTATCTACCCAGCCTCTTCTCAGGGCTGGTTCACACAGAAAGCGGTTTTGCTTTAAAAAACTAAAAAAGACGCGTGCAAAAAAAAAAAAAGACTCAAACTTTGTCATACATTGAAAAATAAAATAGTGCAGTGGAATGGAAAAAGTGATTTCAATTCAAAGAGACATAAAACATAGGAAAAATAAGTTTGTACAAAAGAATTGTACAAAAAATAAGATGTACACGCATACACCTCCTTTTTCACTATAATTATGTGAATATCCATTTATGTCTCTCTTCTCTCAGGTTCGAATCTTCACCTTCTCTGTGGGCCAGCACAACTATGATAAGACACCAATTCAATGGATGGCTTGCCATAACAAAGGTAAAACACACGAAAATGTTATGATATGAATACGTATATATATATATATAATCTTGTATTAAGATGTTATGGTTTCCTGCAGGTTTTTACTATGAGATTCCATCCATTGGAGCCATCAGGATTAACACCCAGGTACATGACAGCATCACTCTAGTGCATAAAAGTGACTTCCAGCAGCATCATATTTCAATGTAACCAGACTACTTTACATACAGGAGTACCTGGATGTGTTGGGCAGACCCATGGTGAAACAAGACAAGAAAGCAAAAAATGTGCAGTGGACCAACGTTTACGTGGATGCACTGGTACGTCAACTCTCTTATATGTCTGTATTAGTAGTTTTGTTAAAGGATACTGATTCATGTTGGTTGTGTTGCAGGAACTGGGCCTTGTGATTACAGGCACTCTGCCAGTGTTCAATAAAACCAAGAACAGTCAAGGCAAGGCTAAGGTACTATTTTGTGGCACATTTGTGTTCTCAGTTAATTCATGTTTGTCTTATGAATCAGATGAACTGAAGAGGAACCAGATCTGTTTTCAAAAGTCCTGGTTATCAATTGCAGGGCCAGAGCCAGTTGATTCTGGGGGTGATGGCCATAGACGTGTCTCTGGACGACATCAAGAGACTGACTCCTCGTTTCACTGTAAGGCGTGAGAGCGTGTGGGCGCAATCTGCACTTCTTTATTTACGACTGATGGTTTGCAACATCGAAGAACTTGCACAACCATTGCATTGAACTGTAGCAGCTGGGTCACGTTATGGGATGCTGCATTCCTTGTTTTTATTAAATCTCGTGTTTTTTTATGGCAAATAGATTCAAATAGGTCATATCATGTGAAACAATTCTCCCAACTCTTTTGAAATAAAGGATAAATCTTAAATATTGACATACATACGCAATGAAAGCAAGGAAATCAGACCTTTTGTGACTGAATTTGACCTTTTCTTTAAGTTAACAGTTAATGAAATTAGTGAATAAATGTGTTTTTATGTAACAAATTGAAACAATGACTTTAAATTTTAGTCAATACTTATAACCCAATAGTTATCACATTGTTAATATTCAAGAAATATGTAAATGTTAATTATTTCAATCAAACTAAAATAGCGTAAGTACTATAATATATAATAATAATAATAATATACAATAAACCTATCAAATGCTTCATTGCTCTTGTCTGTTGTTTTATAAAGCTCGGGCCGAATGGATATTACTTCGCCATCGACCCCAACGGCTATGTGCTACTTCATCCCAACCTTCAACCAAAGGTACGGCTCTCGCTCATATTTCTTTCTCTCTTCTTAGACAAACTTGCTGCCCATAATTACGTGTATGGTCAGTTGTGCATGGCTGAAGAACCTTCACTACGGGTTATGTTGAAATAATGCAGGCCACCCACATCCGCAGAGCTGCCCTTCGTGATGAATATCATTCGTGCAATCCAAACACAATCGTTCTGTTTAGTTCACAGATGAAACGACATTTACTCGAAACACGTGCGTGACAATTAGTAAATGTTTAGTCAGTGTTCCATGGGATTACTGAACACTTTGTATGGAACAAGGTAGGGATGTTGAGAAACGGTTCCTCGTTAGGCACTTCTTAGAGGAAAAAGTGACTCATTGGTAAATATTTTTGCATACAAATATGGTGTGTTGACCAGTATTGATTTATGGTATTACTTTGAAAGTTGTTGTTTGTCTGCAGGATCTCAAGTCTCAGGAACCAGTGACGTTGGACTTCCTGGATGCTGAACTAGAGGATGAGATGAAAGTAGAGGTGAGAGCAAACCTGTATGACGTTCTTTCTTCTGCAGGACAGAATAGACAATATTTTTTGTCCATACATTGAAAGTCAATGGACCCAACTGAAGTGAATATCATGAACAAAACAACCAAAAAACAAAAAAAAAAAAAAACTCTCGAGACTTTTTTTTTCTTCAGAATATCTTCTTAACATGAGTAAATAATAACAGATTTTTTATTTTTGGGTGAACTGTCCCAAAGTTTAAGCTCAAAAATCTGATATCAACAATCAGATTTAAAGCTGGTGTGATTTTCATTTTGTAACATCCCTTGTGTTGTGTTGTACAGCTGTTGAAGTCATTACAAAGTGATTGTCGAAGCATCAACAAACTGCAAAGTTAATTCTCAGTCCTGTTTGATTTCATAACAATATGTTGAATATAAAAATATAATTTTCTCACTTCACAGACATGACCACAGATTTCAATAGTAAATGAAAGCAATGTCCTTTTTTAGTTGTCGGCTTTTAAAGATCCAGTGACGTATTTACTGCAATCAGTGACACCTGTCTGTCTGTCTTTAGATCAGAAGAAACATGATAGATGGTCTCAAGAATCAAAAGGGATTCCACACACTTGTAAAGTCACAAGATGAGGTAATTGTGCATACTTTAAACAAGCAGTGCTTCTCAGCTGTTTTTATTTTTTTTATTTTTCTTCAGAACCCAGATTTTACACACATGGAAACAACATAAAAATGGTTTCAAATTGTAACACGTGTACAAAAGGAAACAAAATTACCTTAAAATCAAATTTTAAAATATATACTTTTTTTATTAGTTTAAAAAATATCCCTGTTAGTAATTCACAGCACAAAACACATTGTTGTCTGTAGAAACCAAGTTTATCCTAGTCGTATTTATGTTAAATAGACCATATTGTTATTTTCCTATTGTTATTTTAAATATATACATAAAGAGTACATTCCTGCGAATTTGGCACATGTTTTAAACTAGATTTTTGTTTTATTTTTTGCACTATTTGCATTATTTTTTGGTTGAAATTGCACTAAAATGGTTCATAGTTTGACTGGCCGCACATCCTTTGACATCAACAACAAAAACATATGGAAAGCATTTTTTCCTCTATTTTAAATGTTTTTTTTGGTTGCAACCGACCAGTTGAGAACCATTGGCTGCCACAACATTAATTATTTAGTAATAAAATGGGGATTAATGGTTCATTGAACCACTTTCGATGGTTCATTGTTTTATTCTCATTGCAGCGTTACATAGACAGGGCCACCAGAACCTACACTTGGGCTCCAGTCAACAAGACAGACTACAGGTCTGAGAATCTTTTTTAATTTGAAGTTCTTTGTTGCATGTTTTTGTGTTGTGGAGGTGTGTTTGTGAACATATGAATTTCCACTAGAGGGCACTGTTTAAAATCACAATGAACTGTATTCAACAGATATTAGACATTTTACTTCCACAAGGACACAGTTGAGAGAAAACATTAATTTAGGCATAGGTTGAGGATAAAATCTCCTTCATTTGAGTTTGAACCTATAAATTGCAACCTAAAAGCACCAATTTTGATTCCACTGGAGATGATGTCAGGATGACTACTGCTTTTCATCATCATTTATTTTTTTGTCTTCCCTCTGTAGTCTTGCTTTAGTTCTACCCGATTACAGTGTGAGCTACATCAAGGCCACAATTGGAGATACCATCACTCAAGCAAAATGTAAGTACCCACTGGACCTTCACCCTTTGTCAAACTCAGTGAAATGCCCTCAGAGACGAGAAACCGTAGTGTGAGCTCCGGGTTTATATTCAGAGCTCATGGTTCCAGTTGTGGTCTGTCTTCGAGAGCGCTTCGCCTGGCGGGACGACGACCCCCTTAAAGGCAAAAGCAACTCACCCTGAGCATATTACACTGTTTTTCTTCCAGATGCACCTCTGTGCCTGTGTTTACCCTCTCGTCCTCTCTCATGTGGCTTTTGGGAGAGGAAAGCCAATCTCAAATGCCCATTAATTCAAGAGAGCCTTCACAGTTCCTGTGCAATATTCTTATTCAAAGCTTCTGGGGTTGAATAAAATATTGTGAAACCCCTCATGTTTTTTTTTCCTTTAATTTGCCTTCCCCAAACCCTTTTCATTCTCTTTCTCTCTGTGTGTTTTTCTCTCCATCTCTCCTCCTTTCCTCTTTTCCCCGTCTGTATATAGCTTGGAGTCCCTCAAATAATTCCGGCAAGTATTTTCCTTCTGTATTTCCTTCTCACTGTGTCCAGTGATACTCACTAGAGATCGGCCGATATTGTTTTTTTGTGACGATATCCAGGCTCAGAAGAAATCGCCTTTCACATTTTTTTTGTGCTGTTCATTGCCAATAAAGATTTGAACCCAAATTTAACCTATTTTATTGATTGTATGCACTTAGTCCAAGACACTCGAGGTAATGTAACTTTTTCAAATTAAGTTTACATGCAAGTACGCTTTGGGGGGTATTCAAAAATACATCGTTCAAACATACAGTGTCTTCGTGTTCTTTTTTAAAGTGAAAAACAAAATGTCAGGGTGATACAACTGTCCTGATATTAAAACGAGGAAAAAAAATACAGGATGGACTGTACTAAATGGTTGTACTGATAACATTATTATTTCTTTAAGAAAATCTGTGGTGCACTTTAGTTAAATATATACATAGAGAGTACATTCCTGCGAATTTGGCACGTTTTAAACTCGATTTTTGTTTTATTTTTCCTTATCGGTCTATCTCTAACCTGCACTGCACTTACAGTGTCTAAATCACAGTCACAATAGAAAATAATGGACAAACACACATACGTCTGCTTTGCATGTGTAAATGTTTCCCAGCTGAGTAAAGCAGTTTAGATGTGCAACTTCACTGTGTTTGTCAACAGTTTGAGTGTCATAAAGTGCAATGTGTATGTGTGAGAGCATCAGGAGATGTTTAGTGGATGTTTTCCTGGAGGTTTAGAAGGTGAAACCGCAGAAGACATGAGTGTGACTCTTTGTGATCTGAACTGGTGCTTTAATCTCCGCCCCTTCGCTCTCTGAATCATCTGGATGCTTTCAAAGCCTCATAAAGGGGCGGTCTAACAAAATACAGGCCTCACTCTTTAGGAAGCATCTCCTCCGAATATGTGCGTGTTGGGTCCACACGTGTTCATGTCCAGGTGCGGATGTGGTATGTGTGTGTCCCTTTTTAACTTTAACAGGACTGTGCAACCTCAAGGCTTCTAACTTTACTGTTACGCAATAACAGTCTGTACTAATAACTCATCTGCCACCCGTCCTGGATTTTCCCCTGTGACAGCACAAACTGTCATATTTTACCACTTTTTGTCGTGATACCATCGTGAGATTGAATAAGAAAAGTTTGATCAAATCTATCGAAAATACAGTGGCCTCAATAATTATTTGGACAGTTTTGCCACTCAAAATATATATTAAAAAAATAAAATAAAGTAAGTGACTTAATAATTATTTCCTGCGTGAAATTTGACCCCCCTCCATCTGTCATCTCTCTTAGCTCATGTGAATGCATAATTCATTAACCATTTCTTGTCATTCCCTTTACAATGAGCGGAAAGCCTTAGATCAGAATGCAATATTTTTATTCAAGGCTTGTTCTGTGGATAAAATATTGGTGACCTTTGACCCCTGTGGTTTTACCCTATTTCTCTTCCTCTCTTTTCCTCCTTTCCTTGGTAAATCGCTCTCTCCTTTCCCTCTTTGCGGCATTTGACCCTTCAGAAGAAACTGGCAAGTACCGTTTTTTCTCTCCCTTTTGTCTTTTCCTTCATGTTTGAACCCTCCAGCTGTAATGTCTGACCTTTCTCATGTTTGGGTCCACCATCTGGTTTCAGAAAAAAACATACAAACAAACATACTCATGTACACTGCAGTTTTATGCATTAAAAAGCTTTTTTTTAACCTGTTTTAATGATGATCTTTTATGATGACTTTCACCATTTCTGTTAATTTCCTTCTATTTTATTTGATTATTTTCGGCTTATTTTGAACTTTCTCTCTCTGGACCACCCGTATGTGAGGTCGTGTGCCTGAACAGCAGGGTGTCACAGCAGATAACTGCTTTACTAGACAGAAGCTCAGAGACATATTTTTACAAGCTGTTGTTCGGCTTCCAGCTGACTGTAGAGTTGTGTTTCACTGTCAGGTCATTTTGAACGTACCTGTAATAATTTTTTATTCCGTATATCTGTATTGTATTATTTTACCACGCTGCAGTGACAGAACTTATTGAAATGATCTTTGATCTTACAGATTTTTGATATTTTCTTTCAGTTTCTGAAAGCCTGCAGGTGGACAAATTTGAAGAGTATGGATATACTTTAATAGCACCCAGGTAAGTCTCTTAGAGGGATAGTTCTGTGAATGACTGTTTACTTGCCTTCATGTCGTTCTCCAAATGATTCTGAGAAATTTTCCTCTTCATGTTTTAGAGATTACTGCACAGATCTGAAAGCTCAGAGTGACAACAACACACAATTTCTCATCGACTTCAATCAATACATTGACACAAAGACCCCCAACAACCCACTGTGTGAGTATCTTTCTGGTTTAAATCTAGAACTGAGCTGTAACAGGGAGTGTGGTACCACAGCTTGAAGGCCAGTTCATTGGGGCTGCTCAGGGGTCATAATCCAGATTAAAACATACACACTGTAAAAAAATATTGTTGGTTTAACTTAAAAAAGTAAGTAACCTGGTTGCCTTAAAATTTTAAGTTGATTAAACTGGAAAAAGTGAGTTAATACAATGAAGGAGATTCATTTAATCATCAGAAACTCAAAATAATAAGTCATCTCAACTAAATAAATTATTTAAATTGATTTGACAAAAGGAAAAATGTGATTACAAATCTTAGAAATATTTTTTTTTTTACAGTGGGTCTTTTGATCGACCAACTGCACTGTAAAAAAATATTTCCATGATTTGTAATCACATTTTTTTCTTTTGTCAAATCAACTTAAATAATGTATATAGTTCAGATAATATAATATTTTGAGTTTCTGATGATTAAATGAGTTTCTGGTGATTAAATCAGTCTCCTTCATTGTATTAACTCAAAATTTCCATTTCAATGAACTTAAAATTTGAAGGCAGCCAGGTTACTTAATTTTTTAAGTTAAACCAACAATATTTTAAAGTAGTAGCTACTATTAGCTATTAGCTATTAAATGCATATATTTCAACTATTTTTATTTCACTCATTTTGTTTCATAATTCAAACATGTTGCACTTTATAATAGTATTTTTTTTAAATACTATAGTATTAAAAAATCTCATTTAAAAATATATCTAATGCTTTTTTGTAATTTGTAGATATAGTTTTAATCAGTATTATAAATATTATTACTTAATATTTCAACGACACATTTTATTTATTACAGATATTTTATTCACAATCAAACTACTTTGGTTTAAAAACGTGACATCCAAAGCTGTTCTCATACACCTTTTCTTGATTAAATTTGAGGTTTTGTGTGTTTCGGTTTCAGTTTAATTATATGTACTGTTCTCTTGTTGATTGTGTTAATGCTAAGTAAACCTCCTCCCTTTGCCCCCACACACACAGACACCCTCCTCCCCTCACCTTCCTCTCCACAGGCCGCTTTGATCTCACCAGGATCTGTTGGTGCTGCGGTAATCACTTAGTTTGGTGCACATGTGTTGAATGTGTAGGTTTGGCTGTAATACTTTATACCTACGAGCACACCCCCCAGTTCGGCACCAATTACCCTGTGTGAAAGAGGAAAAGCAGGACATGTCACAGAAAAAGAGAGAGAGAGGTTGTGGGCTGGTACATCGTTAGGGTCAAGGACATTACCATAATTTAACAACTTAACTACTTAACTTGAATATTTAGACTTATAATATTCGAATGTTTATTAATGCTCCAGAAGTTGATCTCTAGTTCAGATGAACAACAAAAAATTCACTCACATTCACCAACAGACAATGATTCTGTCTGGTTTTCTTTCTTTGTTGTTTTCGGTCAAAGAATGAAACTTCCTCATGAGCACAGACAATAAAATGTTGGAAGCGGCAAAACATAGCAGTGTAAATGCTCAATTTTGGGGCTATTTGTCACAGAGGCCTGGTATTTTAAGTCCACGATTTCCTCGCTGTCAAACACAGGCGGATCAGTTGAATTGTGTTCTTGCGCTGCTCTCAATCAGGTCCTAATGAAAAGCATGCGGCGTGCAAAGGGGGGGCGGAATAAAGTTGTACACCAGCTGCTCTTTCTGAAGTGTGTGTTTTGTCGTAAAGACTTTGCGGTAATGAACTGCAGTGCGATGTTATAAAACACTTTAATGTTCTGAAGGTACCCGCACCCAAAAAAAACGGAAAAACCTTTGAACACTTACTGCCGTTTCATACCGCCGAAGAATACAATCGTGTTTCACGTCTCGGAAAATTAATCTGCGTGTTACTTTCCCGACGCGTCTCTCGCTCTCTTTTTATGAAGTTCTACTTCTTTATGACTTTGGCATCGGTTGCCTCAAAGGTCAGAATGTGGAGCCTGTTTTTACTCATGACCAACAGGTGTTTATGCATTTATCAAGTCAAAGGTGAAGCTTATAATGACGTAAAGCTTTGTTTTGTGCCCATTGACGCTCCTGTAGTTTGAGGGTCATTTTGATACTAGGACGATGGACGAAGGGAATGGCGACATGTCAACTAAGGCCTTTTTATTTGTGTACTGTTCCTCAGGTAATATGGACCTAATAAACAGGATGCTGTTGGATGCTGGCATCACCGCTGAACTGGCCAAATACTGGGGCGAACAAGAACTGTGAGTTGCACTAAATTATAAAAAATGCAAAAAACAAGGCCACGTTTATTTAATCTATTTTTCCCTCATCATATACTCTCTTGATGTTGTTCCAAACCTGTATGGCCTTGTTTTGGTTTGTTTATTTGTGGAACACAAAAGGTTTTGAACTATGTTCACGCTGCTCTTTTCCATACAGTAAAAGCATATGGTGATCAGGGGCTGTCAAGTTTCAAAATGGACAACAGAGCATCATAAAAAGTCTTCTTTTTTTGTGCTATTTTGTCCTTTTAGGAGTTTGTGCACTGTATGCATTTACTGTATGGAAAAGAGCAACATGAACATTCTTCTAAGTATCTCCGTTTGTGTTCCACAGAGAGAAATAAATTTATTTATTTTTAACAATTTATTTTTTGTGATTGTCAGGAATGACAGAATCAAGGCTAAGTTTGTGGCGACAGATGGCGGTGTCACTAGAGTCTATCCTGCGAGGTAAATCTGTTATATTTTTTTACGTTTAAGAATAGCAGGCAGGTCTATAGGACTAAAGTTGTCTCTGTGTGTGTGTGTTTCGCAGTGCTGGTCCAGAATGGACAGAAGAGGCAGAAACGTATGAGTCCAGTTTCTACAAGAGAAGTCTGGACAATGATGCTTATATATTTACATCATACCCAACCCAAAATAGTAAGTATGGGTTTGTGATGATTATACGGGCATATAACACTTTTCGTATGGATTAATGGACATTTTCTGTCCTCTCTTTATCAGAAACTCACGATTCAATTTTAGCGAGTAGAGCGATGGACCTGAGAATTGATGAATTCATGCTGAAACCAGCAGGTGAGAGTCTGACGTTATAGTTTCAGTAATTACCATAGGGATATACTGTAGATAGCCAGTGGTTTAGAAAGATACAGCAAAGTATGTAGTGATAAACCAACATAAAAGCCTTGACATGTGATCTGACAATATATATATATACAGTAGACTCGTTGGCCATTGGCAATCTTGCTCCCTAGATATTGGCATCAACATTATGCTAATAATAATCTGATAATAGATTACTAGTAATAATCGGACGAATCTTTATTGTTTGAATTGTTGTTTGTTTAAGAATGCGAACTGATGCAAAATTTAAAACAACTCATGTTTGTTATGTTATATGTTTCAGTTGTCGGTGTAAAACTGGATATACAGACCTGGATGGAAAGCTTCATGAACACTACAATTACGCCTAAAGTGAGTGCAAAGAGTTAACTACCTGTATTTCTGTTAACTGTAGTGCAAGTTAGAAGGATGATTGGAAATATTGCCATTTTTATTTATCCTGGTGTCAGTTTGGCATTTGCATAAATTAAGGATGCACTGATTCTCTCTGATGCTAAGTACCTAAATGTCAGATTTTTTTTTGTGCTATTTTGTCTAAATAAATTAGACAAAATTTTAAATAAAATCAACCTTTTAAGTGCTATAGGTGAACTTAGACATCACAACAATGAAATGTACAGTGTAAAAATGTACTGAATATTCATTTAAAAGTGTTAATAACAGTGTTATTATGTGTTATTTATCTAAGTGTAGATGTGAAAAAGAACATGCACAATTAAATATCCAATATGAGCCACTATGTCCAATGTCTATCAATAAATAAATAAAATCTCTAATATTGACTGGTAACCGATATTGTATTTATACTTTTTAACTCAAATCTGTCTATTCGTAAATCTTCCTGCACAGTGTGTTGGTGAAATCTGTGGGTGCAGGAGAAATGATGCGGTAAGATCATGTTTATTTGTTAGATCTGAAGAGATGATATTATCTATATTATATGCAATACCATTTGACATTGGTTGGATCAAAATACAGTGCAAAACAGTAATGTGAGATTTTGTTACAATTAAAACAACTGTTTTCTGTTTTAATGTGTTGTTTATTCCTGTGATTTCCTGTGCGTTTACTCCAGTGTCACATGATCCTATATTCAGAAATCATTCTAAAATGCTGATTTGCCGCTCAAAAAACATTTCTTATTATTATCAGTGTTGTGCAGCTTAATATTTTTGTGGAAACTTTTTTCAGGATTATTTAGTGTTTTTTTTTTTTTTTGCAATAATATAAATGTCTCTTTTGATCAAGTGAATAAACTGTTGCACAATAAAAGTATTCATTTCTTTTTTTTAAAGAAACTTGACTAAAATCTTTTGAAAATGAGTGTATATTACTCTTAAACTGTGTTTATCTTTTCTCACAAAGCATCTGGACTGTGTACTTCTGGACGATGGAGGCTTCCTTGTCATGGCCAATCAGGACGAGCGCATGAGTAAGGTGGGCCTCTCTCTCTTACCCAGTCAGAACCTCTCCATTTTGCCTCCATTCCACATTCTTTGACCCCTGGAGAGCACCCACCCAACCCCACCTGCACCCCGCCGGCAACAGCAGTAGAGTAAATGTTTAAAGTTAGGCTCAGTGAGGGAAACCAATCAGAGCAAAGTGTGTGCGGGATAAATCATGGCCGGAGTGTTTGGCAGCAGGACTGAAGCCAAGGGGACTGATTGTGCCCTATACAGGCAGTGTGGGCAGACTCTCCAGGGGTCGGCTAGGACCGCACATTCATTACGGCTGTTATTGCACGGGGAGCGGCGGCCGTTTCGTACACTCTAGGATTTATATCACCTTTGGACTGACTTATAGTCTCGGACGAACGCGCTCTTACATTTTTACGTCTAATACAAAGCTGGAAGCTAATCTCTGTGTGTTCGTAACAGTAACCAGAACAGGGGCGTGTTTAAAAAAAAAAATCCTCATACACTCGCTGTCGGTATCACACCTCAGAGATTTTCTGGGCTCTTAGACAACTCGTTCTATGGTTTAAATTATGGTAAAGAAGTAGGTTTTCCTAATAAGATTAGAAAAGATCCTATCGGCCCCCCGAGCACGGTGGGCTCCACACTCTTTAAACACACAGCATGTTGTTCACAGCATGAACTAATTCTACAGATAAGTACAGACAGACATCTTCATCCCCATAGTGACACATGCCTGATGTCATCTATTGTACTATAGGACAATTTGGTGAGATTATGACTTTGTTTAGTCAGAATTAATCACTATTTTGAACTCCGTATGCAGAATTTTACCATCAATCAGTGTGGAAAACATGAAAAAAGTAGACTGATACCATCTGCTTCCATGATTTATTTATTTTTATTTTACCTTTCCTTAAATTGCCTTACCTTACCATACCAAACCAAACAATAAGCTTCACCAACAAAGAATCAGATTCAGAAAGCCGTACTTTGTCCTGCAGAAAACTGCTAATAGTTGACGACTTGATGTATGTGTGTATTCAGAGTCCTTAGACTGTTTGTAGCTCATCTCAGGACATCTGCAGAGCAAATGGCGAATAAACAAACATTTCATTGCGGGTTTAAATGATGTTAACTGAATGAAAACAAAAATAGCCTTTGTATAATTTAGCAGTGGTACATCTTCAAAGTCTGTGACTGTTTCTTTTTAAAATGAAGATTCATGAGGGGCATACAATATTGTCCCCAGAAGATAATCTGACAAAACCTTCCTTTGGAGATGTATGGAGATATTAGAAAAAGGATTCAACGATTTGTCTGTGCGGTCACGTTTGGCAAATTTTGTGGAAAAAATCCAGTAATTTCAATTCGCGTAAAGATTTCCCCACACAGATTTTTGCAAAAGTTTAGAGGTGGTCACGCAGTGTTGACTAATAAAAGGCGGCTTGATTTGAAAGTGAGTGTGTGCTTGGCAATGCTCTTTGCCAGCAAAATTGCCCGAAATGTCGCTAATAATTATCCCAGTAAAAAACAACAGAAGTCTATGGTATAGTTATGACCCTTATTATGTTTAAGTACATTTGTGCATTTTCTGTGTTTTCAGATCGGAACGTTTTTCGGGATGATTGACCCCAGCCTAATGAGAAATATGATGAATGTCTCCCTCTACTCATTCAACAAAACCTATGACTACCAGGCCCTCTGTGAACCCACCAGAGAATCTAAAGCTGCTGCTGGTCTCAGATCAGTCTACGTGGTGAGTTTCATTCCTCTTTGAATTCATTTCAGTTCCGTTTGACCCAAAATCAAAATTTGTAAAAGCCAAACAGAAATGTGTTTACAGCAATTCACTCACAATGAACGTCTATCCCGTAGTGGTTTGCGTGTTGTCTTAAAACTGTTTTGGCCAAGTTATCACTTGTAAACAAGGATTTGGTTATGTAGCACATTTTTCTCTGAATATAAAGTTTAGTCATGCGGTTAGGTTAGTGAACTTCATGTTATTGTTCCATATCACACTGACAAGTTAGCCTCACGATACTCTCTCTGATCTGTGTGACTTGAACGATTACAACCTTGTCTTACATGGTGACTAAATCTCTCAAAACACGCACAGTCAACCATGAATCATCACAAAGAGACACTTCCTCTCTCATGCTAATCAGAGCAGCGTGTGCGGCAGCTAATCGTCCCCTGAGCACATTCGTTTAGCCTTGTTTGTGGATTTATGCTAGCATCTGCTGAGCTTTCGTCTAATATCTCCCGTATTGTTTGGCACGGGGTCCTTTCTATCTGGCAGGGTCGTGATGGGGGCTCCTGCCAATAAAATCAGGATGTTTTGGAGCTTCTCAGCTCCGGATATGCAACTTGCAAAGTTAGACAAGAATGTCTGAGAGAATGAGAGTTTAAGGTGCCAACATCCCAGAGCTTATGCTGCGAGACTCAGAAAATCTATTGATTTTATTCGTGATTGTATGCCACAAGGACATTTTAGGTGCCCCCGGAATTGTTGTGTAGGTTTAATAACATGTTGTTTGTCCGTTTTAGCCCACCATAGCAGACATCCTGAACATTGGTTGGTGGGCTTCTGCAGCAGCCTGGTGAGTGAAGAAGTGTTTTTGAAATGTTGCCCTAATTAACTTTCTTAGTTCATACAAAAACGAAATTCTGTCATCATTTACTAACCCTCATATTCCCTTCCATTTGTGGAAAAAGATATACATAATAACCAGTTGCCTAGAAATATCCAAGAGCTTTTTCAACTGCGAGAAAACGTACAATTTCAGCGAAACATCTGTTTTAATGTTTAATAAAACGTTTACTCGAACAAATAGCAAGTTCCAATGTGTGACAACCCTGGGTGTTATCCTGTGGAATAACATTAATAATGAAATAAAGCTATGTAAAAACTTATTGCAACTGAAATTTCTATTTTAAAAAGAATCTTAGATGGATATGAGCTGGAAGGGGGATTTTCTTTCTTTGTATTGTTGATGTTTATTTAGTTTGAATGTCTAAATGATTCAAACTATTTAAGTAGCTAAAATATATCAGTGAAGTGGGGGTAGGACAAGAAAAGTTATTCTTATACTTCTTCCTACACCCTTTGAACACGACTGTTATTTGGATCATCTGCTGATGGTCTTTTGTTGATTGATTGTTCTCATGTAGTTTTGTTGATTTCTTTTAACATGTTCAATAAAGAATAATAAAAAAAAGAAGTCAATAGGGGCCAAATTGTGTTTTGGACCCTATTATATCAAAGACTATAGAATTACACAAGACATGTCTTTCGTATTGTTTTGAAATGGGAAAAGTGCACCGCTCAACATAGTGGAATAAGTCCCGCCTTCTAAATAAGAGCCATTCGGTGATAGGTAAAGTTATCGTGTCACTCCAGCTGCCGTTAGAAGCTCCTGTTGAGACGCTCGCTTTCTCTGCGCATGCACATTAGCTTGATCCAGCCTGAAAAATGTCATTTTCTGTCACGATTCGAGCGTTTAGAAACAACTTTATGAAATAGTTGTTGTCAGATTTCATTGGTGATTTCAAATATGAAATTTAATCGTAAACTTTGCGAAAAGTTCAAATTAGTAGCTCCACTTCAATGCCCGAGAGGCGTTTCAAAGATGGCCGCCGAGTGAAATGAATTGTCTTAAATAGACTTTGCTATTATATATACAAGCAATTGAAACATTTCTTAGCAGAATAAATGTCTTTTTTTCCCTCCAGGTCAATATTGCAGCAGTTGTTTGTCAGCATCACATTTCCTAATTTCCTTGAGGCAGGTAAGAACCCGAAATTAGTAATTAAATGCTGTGAAACAATGATTAAGCCATTGCAATTTGGCAGTTGGCCTGTTTGTATTATCCTCTGGTTTACTGCCAAAACTACTAATGCTAATGAATGTTAAAGATGAAGTTGTGTGCAAAGCGTGACCACATATTCATTAGACATTCAGAATGTCAAAAAACAATAAATGTAATGGGAAGAATGGTGTAAATTTTGACTGCGTTCTGTGTACTTTGGGAAATTTGTATTATTATCTTTTTATTGGCTTATTGACACTTCAGCAGGGGATATTTAGGCACTGAATCAACATTAATTTAAGAAACACTGAAAGTATTGTAGCTCACTGTACTTGAATTGCGACTGTGTTTTGTTCGCAGTGGAACAAGATGATGACCTGTCTGAAATACCACATAAAGAGAGTTGCATTAAAGAGCAGACACAGTATTTCTTTGAGAACAACGAGACAACTTTTAAGGGGACTGTTGATTGTTTAAACTGCTCTAGGTAAGAAATGGTGACCATTTTGGAAACTGAACTTAATCATGGAGGGAAAATTAAGCAAAAACATTATTCAATTTAATATGATGTTGTTGTTTTTTCTGATTAATAAGTAAATGCAACATAACCCTTATTTATTTTATTTTTTTTTAATTTTTCCTGACATGTACATGCATTCTCCAACAAACAAAGCAAATTATCTTCATTTGGGAGCATTTTTCAAACAATATTGCTTGATTGACACTAAATAAATAGATAAAATATTTATTTACATGGCATATCGTATAACGATAAATAAATCAATGCAATATTTTATTATGTAATTATATAAAGTTTTTAATTGATTGTTGGCCCAATTCTTAATGATCAAAGTGATTTTTTTTTTTTTATCACAGGTGAATTATGCCCATTAGGTTGTGTAAATTTTTGTTTTTATTTTCAGGCAGTTCATAGCTGAAAAGCTTCCGAAGACAAATCTAGTGCTTATTGTTGCTGACGCACAGATAAATTGCCTGATATGTGATGAAAATCCATTCTCCCAGGAAGAAAAGCCTTGTATCCTTCATACACAATTACACATACAAACAAACTTACCATTTGGTATTGAAACACACAATGATGATGATAACTCGTTAGGTCACTGTCAGTGTTGGGAAGGAAGTTAAGAAACCAACAAGAAGTAGTTTTCCAGTAACTCTTTGTGTCTGATTCATTTTAGTTAATCGCTTCGTCCAAACAGCTGATTTCAGTGAACTGGGAAAATGTTTGACCGATCATTAACCAACATGTTTATCTCATCAAATCCCTCATTTTACTTGGAAATACTTAACATGTTAAGATCAAATGGGTTGAGAAGTTTTATTTGGAGTTTAAACAATGGGACGCTTTTATTCGGGTGTCTCCATCAGGGTACATTGCTATCTAAAGTAGCAAGACTTAGAGTTGTACCAGTAAAAAATAAATAAAGACAGCTAGACCACCAATACCAGACCTGCATAAACCAGGATAGACCAGCCTTTATAAACTATTTTTATTTTCAGCAGGGGTGTCTTAAATCCATTTTGGTGAATTGGTGCTTTATTCAAATGAATTCGTATGATCTGCTTATGTCCCATTGACATTTAGTTTTAGGGGTGGAGTTGAGTTAGACCTCCATGCTTTTCTGAAAAAACAAAATTGTCCGAATTCACACGAAATTGCCATCTCTTAAAATAGTTAACTTTACCCATAAAAGCAGATTTAGATTATCTTAAATCTCACTTTGGATATTAGCATGTTATTTTTCCTGAACTTGGGCTCACAGCTGCGGGTCCAGATCCCTGCATGTTAGCCCAGAACCCACGGTATCGGAAAGGTCCGAAAGAGTGCTTTGACGACAACTCAAAAGTAAGTCACCCAAACACCTTCTTCCGGCAAGATCCTACAACAGATTGAGACCAACCTAGCGTTCCTCACGACTTGATGTGCATTATGCCTTGATCTCACATGTCCCCTATTCTTCTAAAATGGCTTGTTTTACCTGCTCTCATTTCAGTCATTACCTGATATCTACCACACTGAGACACTGCATGATAACGTTAGAGATATAATGTAAATCAACTTTGATATTAGTCTCTGTGTGATAGATCTAGGAGAGCTTGGCTTTGTTTGACATGTTGTAATCTCACAAGAACGTTCATTTCATGGCCTAAAGAATGTGGACACCCACTGTTCTGGTTTAGGTTTTTAAGATGGGTGACTTACAGGTCAAGTGAATAGTTATGCATTTTTTTAAAAAGAAATTAAGAGTCTAGTGTGGAAGACCTGCACAAAACCAATACATGGACCCCACCGAACACAATTGGAATAAGCTGAATTTTTGTATTAATTCCCATGTTATTGAATCTAAACGTTTAGCAAGCACATGTGAGTGGGGTGTTCAGGTGTCCACATACTTGTGCATCTTTATCTAAACACACACTTACTTCCTGCTCTGGATTCTGTCTTTGTCCTTACAGTATTAACGCTTCAAGCACTTCTTCGTGTGTTGCCTTAACTTCTGACTGTCAAACATTTTTCTGCATGACTCTTCCTCTCTCTCTCTCTCTCTCTCCTGCTGTATATTTGGCTGTATAATATATGTTAGGATGAGGCCATGTGTGGGAGAAATGCAGGCTCTCCTCTGCTCTCCTCTCTGCTCATGTTACTGCTGCCAGTGTTCATGTGCTGTCTCGGGTCAGTCCATCTCTCTATCTCTCTTTCTCTCTCACTCTCTCTCTCCTGCCTTATTTATTTGGGTTTTTTTCTCTGCCAACTGAGAAGTACATTCACTAAACTGTTTTTCATCGTATCTCATTTTACTCACAAAGTTTCCACAATCTTTTTGAAAGCAGTGGTTTAGCTCTGCACCTTGAGTACCATGAGTACTTAAATAGTCAATTTAATTTCATCTTTCCTTTCTGAACAAATACATCTTTCTCTGCAAATTTGATTTTACCTGAATCCGCTACTAAAACAGATCAGGCATTTTGTCGAATAAATAAGGCAGCCGGCAGACTGTCATTTCATCTTTATGATACTTTCTTGCCTCGCTCATTATTATTATTATTATTGTTATTATTATTTTTATTCAGACTAATTCAGATTAATATATCTTTCTTTCATTCATTTAATTTTGCATGGGTCGAACTAATTAGCTTAGCGGTTCTTGCATCTTCTTAAACTGCTAATGTAACTCATTCTTGACTAATTCAACATCTCTTCATCCGTAGGAATAAATTATCACCAGCATATTACAGCATATTTAATAATTGTACTTATCCGAACGTATATGGTAATTTTGACAGAAAGTATAGATTAATTGTGACTGTTACCGAGATGACATCTTTTAATTAAAAGTGATCATATTTGTTTTAATATTTTTAGTGGTCAAATCGATTAAAATAAATAAATATATATATATAGGGAATTAATAGGTATTAATTCCCTATACAGTGACTGTTAGGGAAATATTTTTAGTGGTCAAATCGATTAAAATATATATATATATATATATATATATATATATATGGAATTAATAGGTATTAATTCCCTATACAGTGACTGTTACCGAGATGACATCTTTTAATTAAAAGTAATCATATTTGTTTTAATATTTTTAGTGGTCAAAAAATAAATAAATAAATAAATATATAAATAATAATATATATATATATATAGGGAATTAATACCTATTAATTCCCTACCAGACTTATTGGCTTTCTCTTGTCGGCATGATAACAGGAGGACGGGGAGGAATGTGGTGGGGCATCAGGTCTGACTCCGTCTATCGTGTCCATGGTCCTCCTCCAGTTGCTGCTGCTCTGGCTTCTGATTGGACGAGGACACTGTCTCTCGTGACCTCAGCACAGAGACACCACACCCCTCTACGATGCCAAAACACATACCACATCACATATGAACGTTCATCCGGACTCCCACGCCACAGCCCAGCACATGGAGGAAGAGGCTCTGACCCAGGAAGTACAAAACCGAAGCCATGATCACTCACAGCCCTTGAGGTCAAAGTAGGTCGGAGATGATAAATGAGCAACGACCTTTAACATTTGACCTCTGAGGTCGGACGGGGTGGGCAGACTTAACTGGGTGGGCAGACCTTGACACTTCATCTCCACTTTGCCCATGGAGATGAACTACGTCCCAGTGTAATAACGAAAAAATGATCCAATCACAACACTGCCAACCAAAGTTTCACCCTTTACCAGTGTGATGCCTTTTTTAACCTATTTGTCCTTCAACATATTTACAGCGACTAGTTCCTCAGTATTACAAACTGTTTATATGTGACTTTTATGGCCTCGTCACGTTTGCCCTGCTGAGTGAGATATTTAATGGACCCCTCAGGGTCGGGTCAGAATCCAACCTTGTTTGTGGTCTGCAGCCCATTACTGGAAAAAAAGGACAAATGAGCAAGTGACCCAATAGCAAAAGTCTCTTGTTTTTCCCAGTGGTGTCCACCTCTGTGCCTCGGGAATATCGATTTCATTTCCGACCGCTGTGTGAGAACAATCCCTCCCTCCATTTGCCCGTATTCGATATCACACGGTGATTTTTATCCGCCCATAGTGCATTCAAACGTGCACTGCTGCCAAATTTTACCCGGTGTGTGGTCTTGCTGTACTTTGCACTTGATGCCAAGCAGGTCGTGTGGCCAAACTGCCCCGTCATTTTTATTTAGGGCTTTTTAAACAACTGCCAATTCGTACCGACCTAAAAGCTAGCTTGCAAAGTTGTGTGTCCTGATTGTGAGTATGAAGAAGAAGAAAAAAATGCTGTTGCATGTGTGTGTTTTTTTTTTTTTTTTTTTTTTGGTGCATTACCTGTTTATTTTAGATCTTTTAAGATATTTAAAGATTTGCTGTATATTTAATTTTAAGTTTTCCGTTCTATAATTAATCTGTGTGTGTGTGGATATGCAGAAGGGTGGAAAGGCATTTATGACGGTTGCTCTTTCCCACACTTTAATATCATCTGGAGAACTCGGAAAGGTGGAAAGAAAATCATCTAATGTTTACAGTTATTTTGAGACACTCGAGTTTTTATGAGAAATGTTGCCCCTGGTTGAGCTGTCTTTCGGGTCTCTGATGTGTCATATTTCACTTTAATGTCAGAGGCAGAGCTCTGTCAGCCTTTCTTTCCTGTCAACGTGCCTTGATGTAAATGGATACATATAAAAATAAGTGAAGGAATATCACATGTGCAATCTGACCCTGGTAATATCGTCATTCTGATCTGACAAACAAAACGTCCGTCCCTTTAAGAGATCCTGACTGAATCTTTGTGCCTCAATCAAATCTGGTCACGAATCCAAAATGTATGGAATAATTAAGATTTTGAGAAGAGACAAGGATAATTATGGAAGCCTGTGAAAAAGAAAAGCTCTTTTTTTTCTATATAAGCTTTTAGTAATTTATTTTTTTGAAAAGGAGTGATGCCTGGTGCTTGGCCAATATTCTCTTTTTTCTATATTGTATTGATTATGTAATGTATCAGAAATGCTCAATTACTAGCAAACACGTGATTTCTGAGAGTTATTAATGGCCATTGAACCGTATTTGCATTGTTTTTGGCTTAGTGTAAACATGTATTTAGCAAGTTATTAGGTCTCAATCAGCAGATTACCATCATTACGTTTTATCTTAGCTTAGAAAAGCAGGAAATTAAAAGACACCGAGCCACAGAACATCCAAATCTGGGATGGAAAGTGAATTCCTGTGAGCAATGCTACTGTTACTTCACGCATAATTTCCTCTGTACACGGGAAACGTCTTTGTTAATGCACTTGAAAACAACATGATTGTACTAGGTGGAGTTGGCTTGCGTTGAAAAGCCATTCTTCTCGAAATCTTTCCGTGATTCATCACTTCACTGTAATCAGACAAGTATTCTAGAAATGAAGTGCATTAAATCAATGTATTCCATACCATAAACATCATAGTTAATTGTCTGTCAAAATGAGAAATGATTGAAAACATCCCTAGCTCCAGACCATTAACTCAAAGAATTACCCATGTTAATTCCCGGCTAAACTAATTTAATCCTGTTTATCTATACTACAGTATAATGTACTAAAATACATGTACTTAAAAGTGCCATAGAACTCTGTTTGTTTTTCCCAACCTATTTGTCTTTGAAAAACAGGAAAGCAACCAGTGAGGGTTTTCAAACCTTTAATATATTAATATCTCCTCCTTATGCCCTGTTTAGTTGGCTTGTATTGCACTGGAAGTGAAAACTAAGCATTGTTGTGTGCATGTGAACCTCTGCTTTTGTGTGTGATGCTAGGATATTTGCCTGTGTTGGGGTTGGAATGTGTAATGTAACAGATTACGGCTCTGTTCGGAATAGGATTCTAGCATAATAGAACTATGTTCGCAGTATATAGTATGTATACTATGGACAGTATGCACATTTTCAATATGCAAATACAGAACATTTTTTGCTAAAAATATGTAGTATGCAACATCACACTGGATTGAATACTGCATCCCACAATGCAATGCGTCCGACTTGACCTTCGTTTTCCAGTGTGACTGCAAAAATGTACATATTTACACTAATTTAAAGGGATAGTTCACCCTAAAATGAAAAATCTGTCAGTATTTACTCACCCTCATGTTGTTTCAACCCCGTTCGGAACACGAATTAAGATATTTTTGATGAAATCTGACAGCTGGATCACTCCTACATACTAGTACATAGGCCTCTTGAGGGATTGAAACTTGCCGGCCTCGAAAAGTTATTAAAGACATCGTTAAAATAGTCCAAGTGACTACAGTGGCTCAATCAACTTTATCAAGTGACGAGAATACTTTTTGTGCGCAAAAACAAACATAAGTGACACATTTATTTCAACTATTAATTTCCTTCTCTTTGAGCGATCTGTTGTATGTCACTCGCGCCACACACGTGACTAGCGTCGCCCAATAGTGAGCCTACGTGTGACGTTTAGAAGGAGATGAATAGTTGAAATAAAGTCGTTATTTATGGGGGGGGGGTTTGCGCACAAAAAGTATTCTCGTCGCCACTGTAGTCACTTGGACTATTTTAACGATGTCTTTAGTACCTTTTCGAGGCCGGCAAATTTCAATCCCTCAAGAAGCCTATGGACTAGTATGTTCCGAAGATGAACGAAAGTCTTACGAGGTTGGAACAACATGAGGGTGAGTAAATACTGACAGAATTTTCATTTTTGGGTGAACTATCCCTTAAAATGAACTGTTCAGTTTCCCAGATAACTGAACACCATGTGGTGATGTCACAATGTAGCGTTCTACCGTTTGGAATGTTTAAAGAGATAGAACATACTGTACAGTATTCAGTAAGTAGTATGCTAATAGTCCATTCAGAACACTGCCTTAAAGTTGCGGTCACATTTACAGTTCCTCAGACAAATTTGGCGGGAGAAATACAGTCATTAGTCACGCAAATTCAGCACATTCACTGACGGTAAGCTGCTTGGTTTGAAATTGACATCTGAGTGAGCGGCGCTTCATAAATCACTACACTATTGACGATAGACGATAGGCCTTTTTTTTTTTTTTGCTAATGTGACCGCACCTTAAATTTCACTGCCTTTTTTCTTGGGGCGACAGCTGCTGAACCGAGACGTATCCCAATCTTGACGGTCCAAGCTAACCTTAACCTAAAATGTCAAAACTGATTTGGGACCAGTATTTGAAAGAATTAAGGGTTTCCAGCTTCTGACAGAAATTGTTTACAGGATACCTTAATAGAGGTGAAAGTGTTTTCTAGGATATCAAAAAGACAGATGTTCAGTGGAAATATGAGATCAATTCATATTTTTTTCCCTCGAAAATACAAAATTAGATATAGGAACTTTCGTTCTTCAGTCAAACTGGGATGAAGAAAGCCGCCCTGTTTAACGTCCTGTAGACTGCGAGTTCAGATGCTGTCACCTCAGGAACAGTGGGTTTTTTTGAAGCTGGCGTTTCGGTTCTCTGTTGATCTGGGCTGTGTGGGTTTTGATCTCTGGAGTAGTCTGCTTGTGTGAAGCGTGTTTTGAGTGGTCAGTCAGATCCTGCTGCCTCCACTTGCCTCTTGGCTGACCGTCAGTCTGCCTCAGTCAGGGTTTAGGAGGACTTATCTGTGGGCTTATTTTCAGTCCCCCTCAATTGTACTTTCATCCAGTGGTTCCCATCTGGTTTTGCTTCAAGAGCCAGAATTTAAGTGCCGACCCAAACAATATCAAACGTAACCTGTATTTAATGTGAACTGGGTTGTATTTTCTTTTACTATGCATAGTTTTGTTTATGATGATTGATGATTTCGACTGATTTGACTAATTTGGCTAAATTGTTTCTATCAAATGACAACTGAAATTACGCCAAGGCTTTTGACGTCAACTAAAAAAGATACAGGAAGCGTTTTCTCCTTCCTTTTAAAAAGTTTATATTTGTTTTGCTACTAATTTGAGACCTTAGACAGCAAGTTTCATTGTTTTAGTTTGTGTGTGTGTGTGTGTGTGTGTGCGCGCGCACTGGAAATATTTAAATAGACATATTTTCAATGCATTTTGGATGAACGATCGACACTAAGGTATACCCTCACATCATTGTTGTTCTTCGCATAGAACTGAATTTGGCATTGGCCCTAAGTTTCGTGCATTATTATATGCATTTTATTAATTGATTCCGTATCCCGCGGCCCGCCAGTTGAAAACCTCTGATTTAATGCGCAACACTCTTGTGAATCTTGATCCACCGGAGTCAACCAGTGTCTATATTTGTAAAAAAAAAAAAAAAATACAATTCTCTACAACAAAAATGATAAAAGAAAATATCCCATTGTTTATAACCCTCATGCCCAAGTATATTCAGAATAAAAATGTTGCCACCAATGCAAGAGGTGCTGTGTCCTTTGCCTTGACTGCTTTGACCGTGACAGATTTCTGTTTTCCTTCTTTCCCAAAATCACTTCTACTTGTATTTGTCCCGGGGCCAAAACATTTTTCCCCATGTATGTCAGTGGGAAGTTGAAGTCTGCAGTTTCTCTGCTCTCATGTGACATTCTTCTGTCATCGGCGAGGACTCGGACCGAGCCAACCACAACACGGCCCTCGAATCACTGAGAGCCATCGATAGTTTCGCACAATGTTATCTGACTGCCATCGCTTTTCTGTTGCTCCATCGCCACATGCACTCGCTCGCTCTCCTTTGCTTTTTACTCTGATTTGACATTGAAGGCCTCTGTAGTGTTTCACCTTGAGTTTGAATGTGAAACCAGCAGCATGCAGATTTACAGGGTCGTTCCTGGTTTATTGCCGATCTTAAACGGTCTCCTTCTGCGACGTGTGACCGCTAAAGCTCACGTATGGTACTTCAGTGCTCGGGGACGTTTCAAATAAGTTCAATTACAGTCCCCGCAGTGTTTTTGTTTAATGAAGGGCACGTTTATATTTGGGAAACAGCCGGGGGAAGCCCTAAAAGGACACGTACGATATAAGATTACTGATTTTACTGACTGGAGGGAGGAAATAAGCTGTAATATTAACGGCTGAGGCATTATTAAAGCTGTCAGTCTTATAATGCTGTAAAATATTTTGTGGATTGTAAGCAGAAGTGTAAATATTTGATTGTGCTTTGGAATTCGGTGTTTACTTGACGGAGGAAATCATAGCGCTGTCGCTGGTGCTTTTGCATCTCATAATTCATTTTAATCACAACTTTGCTTACATGTGATTCGTGTCCGTAGTATTTGTGTCGCAAGATGGCGTTGAATGGGTTTAAAACAGAAAAAAAAGTGCTGGATTTGGAGAATGACTTCATGAAATCAACTTTATTTATGTGCATGCTTTATTGTGAATGATTCATCAGTGTATGGTTTTTCAACAAATGTTTGTTTTAGTTATTCAATAGCCAATATTTGTTTTGTTTTTGGCTATACGGTTATTGGTAACGCTGCCTTTCTAAAAGTTGGCCAAGAGTTTACCAAGCAATTTAACATTAGGTTATGGCAATTCCAGCAAATGCATTTCTATTGGGATTCCTCAGAAAAGCTTACTAATTTAATTTCGTTTCATTTCATTTCATTCTAAAAGTTTCTTTAATCTAATTTAATTCAGTATTTCATTTCATTAATATGTATTGTTGAATTTATTATTGTTTATTTTTATGTAATTACTTTATTTATGCATTCAATTTAATTTAAAATGTTGATGTTTTAATGTAATTCAATATGTAATTTGATTTTTGATTTAATGCAAAATTAAATAATTTTTGACTTAATTTTATATTAAATATTGATATATTTAATTCAGAATTAAATTGTATTCAAAATTGTATTTAATTTGGCATTTAATTTAATTCACAAATTGAATGTTTCATTTACCTATAAAT